AATGGGGACACTGATCAAACCACATATGTATATGTATACAATATTCGCGAAAATTCTAACGTGACGTAAACAAAAACCGGCACCGGCGTAAGTCATTGTAAATATTTTTCGCAAAGTTTTGCTTTTACTTTTTGGGACTCGAGTCTCATTAGCCTTCCTCGAGTCGGGTCGAGTCATTCTGATGAGGGACTTGAGTCGAGTCGAGTCATTTGCTCGCAGTGACTCGAGTCGAGTCGAGTCATTTGCCCTAAGGGACTCGAGTCGAGTCAAGTCACCAAAAATTGTGACTCGAGTCGGACTCAAGTCGAGTCATGGACTCGAGTCATTACAACTCTGATTTTTTTATTTAACAATATGAATTCGACTTCCTTGCTGGTCCCAAAGTGCCAGCCATCCCCTTTGTGCCTAACACACTGACTGACTTGCTGACTGACTCACTGACTGACTGCCACCTGTGATCCGGGCCGTGCTATCGTATAGGATTACCCCCTAATGCTAATGAATGGGCTAAAACCGGCCCATTGTGAAGACCAGATGCATGAAAAACTTCCCAGCGAATAGCCGTTCTGACTCAATATCGAATATCATTTTGTGTGCTCTGTGACCGGGATTAACCGTTTTCTTTTTAGAGATTGGTTAAGTGAATTTTGTTGTCTTTTAATACACAAGGCTTTGATGAACAAGCTAGAGTACATGCATTTGAATGTAACATTTAGCCTCCGAGGTTTAATATGTGGGTTTTTTTGTATGCGAGAGAGTTCAAGTTCGCATTGATTTCCAACTGTGCCTGAAAAAAAAATCTGGAAATCGCAAGCAGATGTTCCTAAAGCTGCATTAAAAAAAAAAAAAAATTTGTCTTGAATTTCGGTAAAACACTTTAAGAACGCACGCGGGCGGTGTATTTTGGCACAGCTTCGACCCAAGACAAAAGAAAGTATACGAATTAGGAAACAAGAAAAATCGATGTACGTCATACTGGCGAATGACCTTGAGTCCAACCGACAAACAAAATATTGCAGGTTCAATTAACTGTCAAAGTAAACAACGATAAACCGAAGAGACACAATGACTGCACACAACCAGAGAGGTAGTTTACCTCTATACGGCCGGAAAACTGTAATACCGAACAGTGACGAGGTTTTGGACGTGACACGAGTGCACTTGCGCGGCACAGTGGCATCCGATCCCCGGGCGTGCAGCGCTCCGGGCCACCCGCCGATACCTTGACGTCCCGCACGCAGGTGCCTCCCTTAGCCGGTCTTTTGATGTGTAGTTTTCAACCTACGAGTGCCTGACATTGACTCCGATAGAAATCATGGGTAATGGCATGCAGTATAGCCTCAAGGTCTTTGACCTACACAATTTCTTCTTCCGTTTTTTATTTCAGGATCATAATATTTGTAGTTATTGCGAGTTTATATCTTGTGCGTAGACATAAAGGAATGTTGTTTGGGTAAGACGAGATGGCGTATACAGATCGATGGCGCTTAAAATACGGTCTCCATTTAGACCAAACTCCCTTCATTGCCATAAAAACAACTTCCCCGAATCTTCATGAAGTATTGCGTAGTCCGTAGGACGTTTTGCATGTTTCATTGTTAAAATTAAAGGGAAACTACAACATTTGCAAACATCAAAACCGAAATTATTATTCACGAAATACCTACTCATCGTTAGGGGATGAGAGTCTCAGTCTAAAGCATCCTGTAAAATCGTAGCTCCTGGTGTGGTGACATTTTCAAGACATTTTTTTTTTCCAACGCTGGCCGGCCAAACAGCGTTGGAGAAAACTTTTTTTCTCTCAAAAACTGCTCCTAATTTTATAAATTTAGTTATTCCGCATTTTCTTTGCAATTGATCACACACCTGTGAAGGGGTACAAGCCTGCTAGACAGATTCTCTGACCTTACAATTCCCCAAAGTCTACAAATTGCTCTGTTTCATCTTACGTGAAAAAGTGTATACAAGTCGGTTTAACAATATTTGCTGTATTAAACATATTAATCCTTTAATCCATTAATTCCTGAAAAAATGCAGCAAAAGCAAATGATGTACATTCCCTTAAACACCGCGAACCTGAGTATTTTGATGATTAGTTTTGTCATTTTGCCGAATCGAGGTCGCATTCATCCAGTCATGGATTGATGGCAGCGAGTGCAAGCAATGAAAGAGAGCAGGAACTGCTATTGAGTTGAAAATAAAAGAGGCAATGGCTTGGTTTGGATGTGCCATGGGCACGAAACAGCTTTCATATTGCATTAAACAGAAAACGCAATACAAAGACAGGGATCAGAAAGGCAGGTTCAAGGATGCCATTAGAACTACAATGCATTGGGACTTGGGTACTTTAAAGAAACAGTCTTCCTTTGATAAAAAAAATGAATCGTGAAAAGACTCGTTTCAAAGACATAACGGAAGAGACGAAAAAAACTGAGAAAGAAATCTAGCCAGTTCAGTGATTATTGTTAAGTTCAACGATTGGGGTTTACGATTAATTACGCTGTATGTGATGCGTGCAGATTTGTTTCATCAATTTATATTAACTTTATCAAAGAGATCCCCGCCGTGGGGAATGACATACGCCTATCGGCCTGCATTTGTATACCTTTCTTGATAACCTTAAACATGTATACACAATGAGATTGAGAATATTATAATAAATAACGAGGAACCTATGGAGCTTTTTTTACCTGATTGTACTCTGTGTGCGAGGAAAATATCTGTAATTCAAATGTTATACATTGGTGCACAAAATACCGATGGGCGTCACTGTACAAATACTGCAGGTACCAGTGCATGGCATTGCACTGTACAGTATACAAATATTGAATGCTTCGAGTGGTGTAGTAAAACTAGCCTCCCGAGGTGATCCATGGACATTCTATTTTCCCGAGGCGAAGCCGAGGGAAAATAGAATGCTCCACGGATCACCGAGGGAGGCTAGTTTTACTTCACCACGAGATAAAGCATTCAATATTTGTTTTATAACACTTCACCAACAGATTCTGCTTGGTTATAATATTTTTAATTATTTAAATCTAAACACAGTTGAAATAAACTTCAATTTCAATACAAATTAGTGGAAAATGTATTTCTCTCTTCCGAACTACCCCTTCACGAAATGTTTGAACCCAACTCTGTGGCGCGCTCTCTTTGGAACAAAACGCGCTGCGTGCAACGTGCAACGCGCACACCAGCATGCATTTGCACATAAATGCCGATCCGTGGAAATAGTACTTTGGTTGCTACGGGTATAGTACTTTTGGCCGTGCACAGAAAGATAGCAAAAACAGAAAGTATAATGTGACTCGCTCTCGGCCATTCAAGACACAGAATCTGCGAGTGAGGTGTTATAATGAGTTTTAGTTAATGACAAAGGCATGAGCAAACAGCGAGGTAATTATTGTTTACTTCGACTCCAGAACATGCATGGAACAACGGCAACCAAACTCGTGGCTTGGGGTCTACAGAACGCCCTCATTTGTCTGAACTCGAACGTGAACACACGTACTACTCGTTGGTAATGTAGATAGATCGATAGGTTTTTATTGCCATGCCGTCAATTAGTATTTATTGCCATGCCGTCAATTAGTATTAAGAGTATGTCCACGAGAGGACCATGCAGACCGTGACAAGGTGGGGGTCGGCGGATTTGGTTAAAATTTGGGGGGTAGGTGGGTCATAGGTAGCCTTGAGGTTGTACAAAATATTTGGCCAATCTGACCTCCGTAGCAGAAAAAGAGCCAAAAATGTGTTTTTATTAGTGAAAAATGGTGATTTTTATGATTTGGGGGTACAAAAGTTTAAACGCTTGCTGCTCAACAGGGGAAAGCAGCAGAGAAATGAAATTTGCAGGGTCCTGAGGTTGTATCCTGACCTAAAACCAGGTACTCAAAATTTAGAACAAAATTGCTCTTAGGAGGCAACGGCACTAAGGGTACCCCCAAAGTTGAGTCATAGAAATAGCGATCTTTAAGTCGCCGTAGCGTCATTAGTGCAGGTCTTTGAACAATGACACTCAGGTGAAAGAGAGTTCTTATCATGGTCCTTAAGTATCAAGAATAAAAACATTGTCAGCAGTTTTTAGTATAAAATGGCAGGAGTCTGTTTTACCCCTATTTTTCGCTAATAAAGGGACGGGGGAGGGCATACAGTGCCCCCCTTTTCTGTATTTCAAAAGTCGACAACCAATTTTCATGAAATTTGCTACCAAGTTTTATATTTCCAATTTGTAAATAATGACGTCAAAAATATTTTAAAAATCTTTAACATAGGGCTTTTTTTGCACCTTTTGGTCAAAAAGTGTATTTTTCACATAATTTTTTTCTTTTTTGCTTGAATGTTATGAAAATTGGCAAACGTGTATATTTTTTTCATGATCAAAAAAATTAAAACATATTTTAATACCGGAGACGCCATAAGGGGTGATATAATTCCTTAATTTATCCCATTTTTAGGGTAGGGGGGTTCACTTTAAATCAATATGGCCGCAACCTTTCAGAGTCCAGGATGGAATGTATACCCTGCCCGATTTGTGGCAGAGGGAGTCCCCACAAATGTTCCTATACTCAACACACACTTGTCTTTTTGTTAACAGAAGTATCCCCCAATAATCATCTAAAGAATTCCTGAGATTACCAGAACACAATGAATACACAATGGGGGTGGGGGGGGTACACCCTGCCACATATCGCGCACCAAATGTGGGAATGATGAGGCTTGGATGACAATTCTGTTATTTTTTGGCATGTTAATGTAACCCGGAAAATTAATAAACTTGGAAAATAATAAATTGAATGAGAAAAACGCTAAATGTTGGGGTACTCGTTGTCAAAAATGAGATACACCTAGATCGGGTAGGAACAAGTAGAGAGGAATTTGAATAAATAGAAACAATGACACACAAATTTTTAGAAAGACCAAAAAAGAATGATTTATTTTACCAACCAAAATTTGAAGAAAACCTTTCAAAAAACCAATAATCAAAAAGGATTCAAATTAACTTTTATCCAAACCTTAAACCTGTTATCCACCCCACCAAATAAGTAAAATGGTAGTACTACAGTCGACTTTTGTTATAAAGAACACTTTTACAAAGATGTCCTACTGCTGCTTATATAGAGCACATTCTGAGGTCTCGAATCTCTAGTTCTCTTTGTGTCTCTTTGTTTCGCTGTCCTTTTAAAGCAACTTTTCTGTTTAAAGAGGTAGTTTGGGCAGTCTCACCGACCTTGCTATAACGAGAGTCAACTGTACAAAACTAAATTGAACTTTAAACTTAAAAGGAAGTTGAAAGAAGAAAACTGAACCAACACAGTATCAAAATAGAATGACACATGGAACAACCTAACGATCAAACTCGAAAAAACAATTGAATATAAATCAAGAAATTATTTTCCTTCTTAAATTAACATTAAAAAACAAGAACAGTCACTGTCTTCCAATAACAAACCATGATAACCCTTTGTTTAAACACAAAATACGTAAAGAAAGAGAACATGGAACCACTAATGCAAAAATGTTGGTAAAAAAGGATGCAATAAAAAAAAATGAAAATGGGCACTACTATCAAAATTGTGACCACTTTGTGATGATTCAGCAGTTGTTTCACCGATTGTAATCTTCATGAGCCCATCTTCTTGACGTGGTGCTAAACAATGAAGAACTAAACCAAAGGCTTCCTTTGCCTTCCTTCTTTAATAATGGATGGTGCTATCAGATGCTTATTCTAATGACAGAAGAAGCTGCCCATCAACAGCAGACATTCCCCCCTGAGTAAGGAAAGTGTTCAGGGATTGCAGCTCCACATTCTTTGGTCAGGGGGTTGGAGCCCAAGAAGAGTCAAGTGCACCTACATCCTGTGTAATATCTCCATCAGTTGATGAGGACTCAGATGTATGCTAGAAATAATCATAAGAAAATAAAAACAGTGAGATGCATGCTACATATAGGGTTGAAATACAAATTGATGTACTCAAAGAAGAGTACTTACAATTCATCTGTGATAAATGAGATGCAATATGTCAAGGTCCATTCTTAGTTCACTCTCATTACCTCATGAACTGAAGTGCACGCTGTGTCGGTGGGTTGGAGAGCTTGTACACCAGCCGGCGATGTGAAATCTCTGATTGTACACTGCTGCTCTTCTTGTTCCTTACAGCGCACATCGCTAGGTAATTGTTCCGCTGTCTGGTGCGTAACTGCTTGTTTGTGCTTTGATAGACAACCTCTACAGATACCTGAAAGTCATATGAACAGTGAGAATTAACAAAGTGTTAAGGCCGAAGCAGGCTTAATATTTTTTTAAAGTAAAAGATATAAAGCGGGGCGTATGTAGCCAACAATATTGAGCAATAGATGCCTTGAACAAAACCCATGTCATAAATTCCCCCCCCAAAAAAAATAAATAAATAAATAAAAAATAAGAAATCTTCTTTTATTATTTTAAATTGCCTGTATTTAATTGCACTTAAATGTATTTAATTCTTTTTCTGATGTGGCTGGCTCTGGAGGATTTGTATAAAAGGGGAACCGAAACAAATCTGAAATTGTTCTTTAAGTTGTAAATGGTCTGATGAGTCACATCTCGTGAATAAAAGTAAAAAAAAAACAATGTAAGTGCAAAAAAAATATATATGTTTTATTCCCCAAACTGCGCATGTTCAGTGCAGTTCCAACTTTCTTTATATAAAAAAAAATAAATTCAGAATCCAGCTCCGGCTAAATATCCACCATGTGTGTCCACTGCCTAAAACCATGTGTGTGGTCCAGAGCTGTGACAACCAGTATTAATTTTTCACACAATAATAAATTTCACTGGTCCCAAGTCAACTGCATGATAAGGGATTTAATTGATATAACCTACCCAGGAACAAAGTCAGTTGATCAGAAATGGACCTTTACCATGATTAATTCATTTCAGAAATGTATTTTTGTTTGATTTCTGTCTTCTTACCTGTTCCAACAGTGATCAGGGTACCCCATAGATCAAACATCTATGATCTCACGGCTAGTTGCTTTATTCACACCACGGAATGGTTTGCCTTTCCCTTTATGGAGTGGATGACAACATTTCCTTGATGATGTCCAACTCAACCCTAACTTGTATCTATGCACTGGACGTATTGTCTTATCAGTGTATGCATCGACGTCGAACAAACCACATCGCAGGAGGATCAGTTTCCACTCGACATTCACATCATATGCAGCGACTTTCCACTTCTGCAAATGGCTCCGTATGTCTTTTGTGCATCGATTAAGTTGCACTGTATTTAGTTCGCGCAGATAAGAGGGATTTACACCACATTCGATGGCTTTGCTATACTCAAAATTACTAAAATCACATTGCAGCCGCACAGACGGCATGTCCATGGCTGCCATTTTGACGGTAATGTAATGCGAGGGCGCCCTCTTTCGATACCGCGCGCTAACTGGGTGGGCGGCAACAGGACGTTCCCCTCCTACCGGATCAGTGCGCACCACCAAAGGTAGCCCACTCACCCACCCACCCAATAGGTGAAGTCTGCAAAATGTACATTTTGTTACGCTCTTACAACAATTCCTGCAAAATGTCAATTAAGGGCAACCAATTGCACTCGGAACTGTCTAGGGGGCTATGTAGGTTTGGTCTTGAAAATTAGGAATTTTTCAACTTTGTTGACCGTGAGCAAACAAAAACAAGAAGAGCTGACAGTTTTTTTTTTTTTTATTATTGTAGTCGGATATCTGAACTATATTTCCTCCAAGTTTGTTGACTCTCAGCCCTGCATTAATTAAGTTATGGTTTACCGCGTAAAGGACTTCATTTCGTAATAGAGCTGATACGTGTTTTTCTTACGCCTATATCTCCGCAGTGAATGCTTGCATATCAAAGATTTATATTTCATCGTTTAGAGGAGATTAAACCCTTTCTTTTGATATGTAGGTCGACAGTAAACGATTTAGTTTAATTAAGGGTATAAACGAGGCTATAACTTTACACCAGATACAACACAAATTTACTCCCCGGAAGTCACCCTTTTTGCTCAAAATTGTTGGTGCCCCGTACTCGGCCACCGTGTGATTATTTATCGAGCTACTCCACCGAGTGGTATCGTCTCAGGTGGGGATCAAATGGCCAAGATTTGAACTTAATTCGCTGACCCCCCACCTTGTCGATTTTTCAGGATTTTGCATGGTCTTCTCATAAACGCACACTTAAATACAAGTTAATATTAAATACAAATTAATGATATTTGAATTGGATAAATATACAATTATAAATAATATTTAAATTGGATAAAAACACAATTATAGTGATTAGGAAAAGAATATATACACAAAAATAACGAAAGTAACCAACAAAAAAATTAAGAGTGAGAAAGCACGGGAGACATTTCAAAAAGCTGGGGGCTGTAAAGACTGCCCTTTTCTATTCAAGTGCCCGTTTTCACCAGCGTTTACCCCCCCCCCCCCCATATTTGTTGAGAGTGCCCGATTTGTTAATCAAGTGCACTTTGATCATCCCCATTGCCCCCCCCCTCCCCCCCCCCCCCTCCTCCAACTACCCGATTTACGCCACTGCCTAAATTGGAAACAATCACTATTACACCGAAGTTCATCGCAGGCGCACGACCATAAGTGTCCTCTATCACCGCTGGTGGCGTGGTTTTACGTTGACAATCTGTACCTTCATGTCTATTGTACCAGACTTTTACCGTACACGGCCTCGATGATAAACAATGGAATGGACAGCAACATCATTCCGCTGTACATGTAGAAAGTGATGGTAAAACTCCCCGTCCACTTAAAAATCAAACCTATAAAAGGAAAAGAAGTTATAGTCACTTCAAATAAAATATACAGTGAAATCTCGATAATTCAAACTCTGATAACTTTAACCAACTGTTTAAGTCAAACAAAGAACCCATTCCCTTTAGTAGTTTAACAATGATATACAACCCTGCTTAACTCAAAACTTTGCTTAGGTCAAAATTTTGAACCTGTTTCCTTGAGGTCTGACTTATCAAGATTTCAATGTAATTCACAACTATTTAAACTAGCGGCATTAACGAAAGTCGGGTTTTTAGAGACTACAACCGGAACATGCTTTTCAATATTTTGTCCCCTTTTGAAATACGCGACATGAGCCGAGAAGCGTGGTATTGGTATGTAGGATTCAAAACTATTGCAATACAAAATACAGCAAACCTGCTATCAATGCACCGAGCATGCCAGCGACGCCTTTGAACAATCCCAGCCAGCCCAGTACACTAACCAACCGGTCATCGGTCGCTAAGAACCGCATCATGACGTCAACCGCTTGGACCACCGTCCCGTAACCGACACCAATAAGACCCGAAACGGCCAACTGCCAGAGAAACGCTCCTGTGAGAGCGTCTGCCAGAAATGATACACTCATGAGGGCTGCGCCGAGACACGCCCAGAATGTCACGGACAGTTTGGCGCCAACCTGCTGCAGGAAGGGCGCCACCAACCTGCCGATGACGTTGCCCACCCCAAAAGCTGTGGGCAGAAACGATGCCTGTGTGTGGTTCAGGCCACTTAACTGACCGTGCGACACCATGTACATCACGAAAGCATTGTAGACAAAAGTGACTGCAAACCTGCCAAAAGCCAGGAGGATGAACCGCACGTCAGCTAGCACTCGGAAGTCAATTGTCCTGATGAAGTGTCGGAAATACTTTCTTGCCGAACTTTTGTGAAGATCCGGGCTCGGATGATGTCTCTTCTCTGAGGTGCTGGTTTCGTCCCCGGCTGGATAAGATCCTTCCTCCTGGCTACTTTCGCCCTCACGGTCACTATTTGCAACCTTTTGGTATTGTTCAGTATCCGACGGAGACGAAGACGGATCCCGTCGCACTAACATACCAAACGCCACAAGATGGAACGAGATACCACCCAGCAATAGCATAGTTCCTCTCCAGCCGTAGGTGTCCAGGAGAATCTGAGTGACAGGGGCATAGACTATCACACCAATGGGAGTGCCCATCATCGATAGGCCAATGGCTAACGGATATCTCTCCTTGAAGTATGGGGCCAACACGACAAAACTGTTGATGAATAGGAACGCAGACCCTAGACCTGCGAAATGAATATCAGAAAATGAGAAGTTTAGAAATACAACTGCAATCTCAGCCAAAATGGTTGGGACACGTGATAATAAGCATATCCCCTCTCCGCCCCCCCCCCAACTCCCCGGGCAATATTGTTACCTGCAGCTGGAGCACAGACCTCGCGATGAGAGGCAGCACTGACCGGGCCGAGGGAGGGAGAAAGGGAGGGGGAAGCGAGATTTGGCCGGGATTTTGGTTGTTTTGCAGTGCAGTCCTGAATACAAATACAAATAGGAAAGCCCGATTCTTTCCTGCGGAGAGGTGGAATTACATTTCTTATAATAGGGAGATCCTATTTTGATATCAATCTGAGAGCTAAAAGGAATTTGTGAACGGCAGTGTCGGGCATCATAGGAAACTGTTTATGATTTAGAGCAAAGTGTTTTCATTGTCATTTTTTTGTTGCACCGTTACAGAAAATTGGGATCATGACAGCTACTTCTCGTGGTTATCCTGTTAAGAGGAGAGTTCTCGCTAAGAAGATTTCTCTGTCAACCTGGAAAACTGTTACCACACGCACGAACGAACGAACACAAGATAATACATTGAGACGGCCAGCTTGTCGCGACAGTTTAGCGTGAACTCGTTATTGAAAGGTGAATGACCATAGTTAAAATGTACACTTTTGTCCAATTTTTGTGTACGGTTATACAGGGCGAGTCAAACAAAGCGAAACCCAAATGTAGGGACTATTGTATTAGTGAAGTTCTGCATGTAGCACTTTCAGAATCTAAGATATCATAAAGCCCAATTCATCAGCTTTCTTTTTGTACAAGAATTATTTAAATCACTCATAGTTTTCAAGTTACGGTTTTAAACACAACCACTGTTTTAAAGTTCTGTCCATGGATCATAAGAAGGTAAGTGTTCTTTCAGCAAAACGAAAACGAATCACATAGGGATGTGTGTGAACTGTTTTCGTTTTGCTGAAAGAACGCACACCTTTTTTTGTGATCCGTGGACAGAACTTAAAAACGGTGGTTGTGTTTAAATTTCAGCACCCAGACTACAAGCAGTCTTAAACAGAGTGATTAAAACCCCCAAAGCACACATTTATTCCCTTAATATAGGATAGCAAAAATAAATTAACGCTTTAAGATATTAAATGTGCACCACATAAAGTACACTCGACTGAATGCCCATAACTCTTTACCTGTGAGTCCAACTATGAAAAAGGTCGTTGCGAAAATGTTATGTGATATCGAGGTCAGGATAAATCCCAGGCCAAGAAGAATTCCACCAAATATCATCACGGGACGGCTGCCAAACAGACGAGAGAGGGCGCCAACAACTGGCCCTGTGAGGGCAAAGAGCACACATTTATTCACGGTTGGTGTGGTGAACATGAATTAATATATAAAGAGTGTGGGTATGTCGATTAGCGAGCTATACTTGGAAGGCCTAAATGCAGTGGGAGGAAAAGCAGCTACAGGGTGAGTCAAAAAGCGGAACCCAAACCCGAACAAAATGTCTTTCATATTTAAAAAAAAAAAAAATATGTAGCACCAAAAATGACTGGAAAGCCAATTTCATAAACTACTTTTAGACATTGCCTACATGGTGCCAGATGTAATAATCAACAAAAAAAATGATAATTTGACCAGCTATAGTATATCTGAGCCACATTCGTATCCCGTACGCGTACGTATCCCGTACGCGGTCCCTAAATAATGGTGTATCCGCACACATAAGTTACAACACCAACAACAACGAAATGAAACAAAAATTAGCATTCATTAAGTAATAAAACATACCGGTACAGTTCTTCATAACGTTGGACCAGACTGCAATCCAGCCGATGAGCCACAACTCGCTGTCGAGGTCGCTGGTCATGGGCATGAGCAGGACGCCCAGGGCACTGAGGTTACCCATGATGACAACCATACTGAGGAACACGACCGCCACCATGACCCATCCCCACTTGTCGTGGTCGTGCTGATGAACGTGCTGACTACCACGTGAAGCCATAGAAATGGACTTGATGCAGCTTGACATACAGAACTGTCGAAATCTGTCTAACATGAAAAAAAATGAAAAAAGTAAAACTGCTGCAAACTGCTTACTGACTGGATGGACCTGAAATATATAAATCTTAAAATTAATGTGGCCTGACGTTGCGAACTTAGCAAGTTCTTCTTCAGAGGCTAAAACAGAAATGACAGAGGTACATGTACATACATTAACAAGGGGGTGCACACAAACATGCAGGGATGAAAGAAGAAACACAAAAGGAGGATTAGGTGGGAAAGGTGTGGAAAGATGCAGGGGAGGGTGAATGAGAGAACAAAGAAACAAAGGGAGATGGCAAACCACAAGGGGTCTTGTGTAAACAGGGGAGGGACCAGAAAGGGAGGGATCAAAGGTCACAGGGAGTGGGAACGGACAAAAGAGTGTGAGAGTGAATGGACGATGTGGGGGGGGGGGAACAGTATTGAGGTGGAGAGGGATGAAAGATGGGGGAAGATGGGTAAACACAAACAAGGAAGACCAGATGGATTATCTGTAATAGAAGACAATGGAGGAAGAAAAGGATTAATCATTTCCAAGTTGGATGTTGAGACCATGTGGTTGAATAGTTCGAAGACGATTCATCCACACTTTCTCTCTGCTGAGGCGAACTGAGTCCTTGCGATGGCCAAGAGATTCAATGCCCTGCAAAATCATATCAGAAATGGAGTGGTTAGGCAGGTTGAAGTGATGACCAACAGGGGTGTCTAGTTTCTTGGTGTTGACCGTTGACCGGTGGGCATAGAAACGCTTCTTGAGCGTATTCTTAGTCTCACCTACATACTGCACTCCACAGACCCTGCAAGATATGAGATATATGACATTAGAGGTGTTACAAGTGATGTTACCAATGGTTCTGTGGGTAGTGACAGAAGAGTGGCCAGAAAAGGAGTCAGACTCCTGGATATGAATCTGGCCGACAACACATCTGGAACTGCACTTGAAAGTACCATGCTGGGTGGGAGGGGATGCATCTAAAGAAGGGACTTCAGCTCGAACAATCAAGTCCCGTAGATTTCGAGGACGCCTGTAAGCCAATGTGGGGCCGTTGGGGATGGCGCGGGCAAGGCGATCTGAAGTATGGAGGATATGATGATTGTCATTAGTCATTAGTGATTTTGCGAAGGGGAGGGAGATTGGGGCCTGTCTAAAGTAGGCTACCTATCTCTCACGGATGCAACTTTCCCGCCCTTGACCGCCGGTATAGATCTCCTGTGCAAAGAAATTACGTCCTTACAATATGCCTGAGCAGAAAATTGTATTTGTATTTTCTTTATCGGAACACTTTAAAAGTTGAACACAGAAATTGACTGGAGCAGGGTTTGAACCTGCGACCTCCGGATTACCATTCTGGTGCTTTTACCAACTGAGCTATCCAGCCCTATGTTGGCGGGTCCCCAATCAGTCAATATCTGTGTTCTTGTGGCACTAGTCAGAAGCCATAAACCAGTATGCCATACAGCCAGGCCCGGATTACCTAATAGGCACTGTACCTAGGGCCTACGAAAAATTCGCGGGCCTACGAAAATGCCGCAGAGAGGCCTACCCAGACCACACCCATACACGCGCACAGAAAAGTTTTTTTTATAAACTTCTAGGGTCTCTCTCAGAATTTTTGATTTCACCACACCTGACGCACGGTGCCAACCAATTGACGCACGGTGCCAACAATGGGCTTCGATCGGTGGTGGCCGGGGGGGGGGACATGATCATTCCCCCTAGCTATTTTCGTCCCTGAACAAATGATTGTGGCCTGTATTTTCAGTCTGTAGGTCAGAACAGCTGATTCAATGACTCCAAACTCTAAAATGATGTTTAACTGAGGATCTTTTGCTAGAACTTTATCAGCCAAAACTTGCCTCAGATCACACCACAGAGCGTCTACCATATATTTTTTCCCTTAAGCGGGCCAATAGCTAGGGGGGAGTAGGGCCTACGGAACACCTGTGCCTAGGGCCTACGAAACACTTAATCCGGTCCTGCATATACAGCTAGCCAGAAATCAGGATTCCCAAAATCACGATACATATCTGGTGAATAGCAAACGGGGATCACTGGGAGAGGGTACGGTTGTTATTATTAATTTTAACATGAACCACACAGGAGCTTCACACTTCATCGATTTCGCCTTGCTTCTTCAGTGTTTACATTCTTAGAGTTTATAGGCACTCTCCTGAAGACGGTCAGAGCATACTGACCGGAACGTCGAGTTTATACCTCTGGTTCTTTTCAGAACCAATTTCAGGACCAATTTCTTTAACTTGTAGCTATTGAAGTAAATGATCAATTGAGTTTATACTTTGCAATATGATAGATTATAGGGAATAGTCATTCAATTTTGTAGGTGGGTGGGTGGGGGGTCTACCCGATGCTCCCCAATACCTATGTTAAGGCCCGTCGCCAGCCCTGAGCGTCGGGGGGGGGGGGGGGGATACTACCAAGTAAGGGGCCCACTGCCATACAAATACAAAAATACACGTGTGTGGTTTTTGCCGTTGGAGGCCATGGAGGCCCGGCCCCAACACCCCCCCCCCCTCCCTTGGCGACGGGCCTGCCTATGTTCCCCAGTACCGATGTTCCACAAAATACTTAGGAATAGGGTTAGAGTAATTTTCGAAATAAAATGACATAAAGTTACAAAATATATATATAATATCATAAAAGTAACAGAATAAATGCAAACGGTCAAGGTTCCTGGTCAGCTCTTAATTAGCTCAGACTGATTGTCCTCATGACTTCCGCACCTCCTTTATTCACTGTGGAAATTGATGCCCATTTCGTTCACAAAATGGCAAATTTCTCTCTTAATAGAAAATACACACACACAAAACACACACCCGTTTGTTTATGGTGTAAACCGAGGATTGTTGTATGTTCCTCTTCCCTTTTCCGTTGTTTATAACTTTTTCGAAACAGCTCTCATTGGTTTTGTACACGTTTCTAATCGATCAACGATGATGTTGCAAGTGCGTGTCTTCGATTTACACCATAAACAAACGCTAGAGATATTCGCGTTTGTTGAGTTACAAACGCAGAGTGATAGGGCAGACAACTATAGACGCTGCCCAGTAAAAATGTGCATAGTTTTGGCAGAAAAGAAAACAGATCACGAAATGTAACCTTTAGTTTCAAGTATGACCGTTTGGTTTCTTATGAAAAAAAATTGCATCTTTTGGGGTACGATACATTTCATTAGGCATATACGTTTGTGACCTACTAAGGCAAAATGAGGAATGCCCCCCAGACACGGGCGTCGCCAGGATTTTTTCTAGAGGGGGGGCAAAAAAATGTTTTGCCAAAAAATGCTTGTATTTCTCAGCACATTCTCGATTTATCAGTTTTAGAGGGGGGCAGGGACATTTTGCCCCCCCCCCCCTCATTAAATTTACACCACTTTGTCTTCGCGCTTTTTTTTTTTTTTGCTTTTCTGGGGGGGGGGGGGGGGCAAGTGCCCCCCTTGCCCCCCCCCCCTTTTTATCCACTTTTTGGGTTTTTTTTTTCCACCAAAAATGCATAGTATGAATCATGGATACCTTGTGTACTCAAACATTCAAAAACGAACAATGTAAATTTTTTTGACATTATTTTTCTAGTATATCCGACTTTAGGCGTCGGTTACTCAAAAAAATGGTCTGGGGAAATTCGGCAGGACACTGTTGACGCTCCTGCAGCGTATCTTAATTACGATAAAGAAATAAATTTGGTCTCATTGGAAAGCCAATAATTTGCGCTTTAACATCACGTTTGTAACATGAACAGTCGAAGGTGGGGGATATTCCTCATTATGCTATGGCAAAAAGCTGAAAATATTAACTACAATAATAAACACCTATCCTAGCCTTTTCAGGCTAAGCTTTAAGTAAATCAACTGGTAACTGGACCATACAAATGACGTCTATCCTCCCCAAGGGGCGTGTCTCAAAAAGCAGATTTAACATGTTGCCACATTCAAATTATGCAGGAGCTATACAATACCACCAACTTGATGCACTCACTGGTGTTTGAAATGAAATAATTACATTAATTAAACTAATGAAACAAATATTTACACAAAACTTACAGTATATACTGGCTTCTATTAAAGACCAGGAACACCGTCAAGGGGGTACAGGTGTAAATACGCTGGCTATTGCAGCCTCTTGAGAAGCAGACTATAGTATATACTTTTCTCTTAAACACCGCCCAACAGAATCAAAAGTGTGTGAATACTTCAGCACGCCAGCATTGAATGCAAATTACAACCCTAGAAATGTCCTCGCCATATACCACACATATGTGTTAACAAAAGAAGACCACACCTAGATTTGCATAAAATGTACATAAAAGGTAATTGGGGCAAAGCCATTAACCCAATTACAGTAGGAAATACTAAACGAACGTACACTTGGCGTAAAATATCACCCCAACCTCGTCCCCAGGGTGGCGAGCAGTACGCGCCCACCACTACCTGCTCTCTCAGCCTGGTATTGGATCATTTGCATGTGCAAGATTTTTGAACACGTATGCAAATGGGGAATAGTCTGGTGCCTGCATGTGCGTTACGTTAGTGTTTGTTTGTGTATGCGGTGTCTGGGGTAAAACAGGGTCAATTCGTCGCAGCGCGAGCGTGGCGTGAGTTACGAAAACACGATTTATTTAATCAAACTGTTACGATCTTATCGAGACAACATTAATATGAACAAATTGGATAGGAAATGAGTATTTTCGAGAAGGCATGGACGAATGATCGCGAAAACACGTACTGCACGTTGTGAATAACAACACCAAGTACACGATACAAATCCATTACTAGCCAATTGCGGTATCGAATCAGGATACAGGAAAGAAAGTTGACTAACTGATCTTCAACAACGGTACTCCATTCATTTATGATTCAAAGTAAGTATTCCCTTATTGACTTTAAATCGCTTATAATTAGATACTTGATGACGTCATCGCTTATAATTTGATACTTGATGACGTCATCGCTTATAATTTGATACTTGATGACGTCATGGTGACGTCGGAAAAAAATTATAACATCTTCGAACCGAGGTCCAAGTTCGTACCAGGTTTTATGATCACCACGGCAACCGTTTGGAAGAAATCTTGGTTTGTTTTGATTTGAGGCTCATTTTATATATTTTTAATTCATCTGACTTTGACCTTCCGGTAACCCCGGAAGGAAAGGTCAAACGACTTTGAATCCGGTAATCAAAAATGTTCATCAAGGTATGGTCTATCGGATCGCAAAGTATGAACGTTATAGTTCAGTCTGTTCATGAGAAGTTATAAAGGGGAACAAATGTAATACTTTGAACAAAAATCGATTGCAATTTGATACCTGATGACGTCATCATAACGTCAGAGTAATATGCGCACGGGGTCATGCAGGTCTGATATAGGCTCCATGGAAAAGTCTTAGGTTTATGAAAAGTCGTGCGGAGTGGTTGTTGGGGGGGAGGAAGAAAGAAGACATTATTTAACCATTTCAAAAAGATGACCCTGTCGTACCAGTCAAGTACACGAAGTTGTATATTATATAAATACATACCTTTGAGTTGGGATTAAAGCCAATTTTTAAACAAAATGAATGACCTTTTTGTGAGCTTGACAACGCGGTCGAGGTCGGCAGGCAGTACGTCCGTTTTCTCGTTCATTCAATCGCAGCATTCACAATACACTAGATTTCACAAAAGGTGAAATTGTGACTAGCTTTTATATTTAGCTTGTGTCACAGTGGTGGGTTACCAACTGAACCGGGACTGGGTGAACCCACTTGTGTAACAGCACACATGACGTATAGTATAGACTTTGACCAGAGTAAATTTTGTTCTCAAATCGATAGTCACTGAGGCAACCTGAAGTTATTGACGGTTATTAATTTGTATGTCACCCATGCAGCTGTCTCGCATCTACTCATTATCGATCGTTAAAGGATCCATGAAATGAATTTCTCTTTTTAACACATTTTGGGCAACTTTCTACTCCTCTTAACCCTCCGACGCAGAAAGCCCATTTAGTAACACACTTACAGTAAGGGGTCCCACGGGGACCCAAATATTTAGCGCCACGGTTTGAGGCTACACAACACTGTATCCACATGAACACAATCTTGCCATGTCTGTAGACTAAGGAGGTGTATTTGTATACATAGTCTGTGGTCAAGCCGTGCACTGTCTACTCGCAAGTGACCTTGTTTGTGCACGTGTATATGGTGGGTCCCCGGGTGGGCAGAAATTGCGTCGGAGTTGTTTTGTGCGCGTGCATATGGTGGGTCCCCGGATGGGCAGAAATTGCGCCGGTCCTTAGCCCAGGTTGTCATGCTCAGATATGCCTGACCCGGGGTCACACACTAAAGGTGACTGCATATATCCGTAGAGGGTGTCTCTTGCTAGGATTAGATGGAAGATCACCAGAATTGGTTTGAAATTTTTTTTTTTAATTAAGGTAATTAACCAAATTGGGTCCCCAAAAGGGCTAGATTCTGCGCCGGAGGGTTAAAATGTATGGAAACAATGACCGCCTTTATTGGGTTAGTTTTATTAAAAGGTGCACTTTTTAAACAATCATTTAAAACATTTTCCATGCTTTCCCGGACAACTGAGGGCGCTGTTTAAGTGATGTCATTTCAGGAATTAGACACTATTTTAGTTCGGGATTTTCTGTTCGAATTGGGAATTGCATTCGAATCGTAAATATGTTCGGTTTATAGAATCTCATTCAGTTTGGGGAAGTGCATTCGGCCGGTAAAAATACACGTTATATGTTTCGAAATACGTTCCGTTTTAAAAATGCATTGGATTTGTAAAGATGCACGTACGATTTATTAAAATGCATTGATCCCTTTTGGAACATGCATTCCGTTTATCAGAACACATGTAAGATATATAAGAAAAAAAAATCGGTTTTGAAGAATACATAAATTCCATTGTTCAGTATATTTGTTTCAATCGTTTGATTTTAATGAAACGGGGTATCAACAAAGCACATAAACATTGCCTTACCTCCATTAGCAACCGGATGGGCAGGTTTCACAACTTGAGTTTTATTCAACATAAAACAATGGGCGACTTGTGAGAAAGCGTCTACAGCGCAGCCAGGACGCGGTCGTCCTCGTCCACAAATTTAGCCAAGCGCCATCGATCCGATCTTTGAGATTGCACAGATATCAGCTCGCACATCACGGCCAGTTTTACCAAACCTAAATATTTCTGCATGGACGCCGCCATGTACGCAAGTACATGTACTCTGATCAGCAGAGATAGTAACATGTGCGCTTGATCGAGTGAACGTTTTTACAACTCCGTCACGGTGCATGGGCCATGCATTCTGCAGTACCGAAGCATTGTCAATGTTGGGTTCAAAGACGCGCGTATACATGTACGTGATTGAACTCAAAATGCATCACTGACAAGGCTCCGATCGATAATACCCGGGGACAAAACTTTTATTACCCCAAACTTTGAAAGCGCCGGTATCTCTTGACCCGGATCGAGCATATTATGGTATTTGCCCCGATTTAGGACCGACCCGAAGCTACTCCCGGACCACCGACCCGATAATACTACAGACCGTCCGACCCTGAGAACCTGAAAGTAAAAAGGTCACGCGGCAAGTTTCCGGAACCCTCGCGCGGCCCGCACTTGGGCATTTTACACTGGGTAGGCTAAATATTTTTTTTTTTTTTAAACATGTTTAGCATGCTGCTTTTTTGAGAAAAAAAGGAAGAAGGAGGCCCCTTTTCCCACCAAAATGCCGCCCGACCGGGCTATTTTTCAAGATGGCCGCCTGTTTTTTTTTCTAAATGGCTGCCACTTGGACTCAGGAAATGACATCAGCTTTATATCTATCACTTTGTCGGGGTTTTTTTTCGATTAAGAAAAACCCTTAAAAAAACCCATCTTGGTCTCCTATTTAACTTTCCGTTTTGAAGATGCACCTGATCCAGGGTGAGAGAGCAGGCAGTGGTGGGCGCGTACTGCATGATCGACACCCTGGAGACGACGTTGAGTCTGCACCTATAGACGTTCGGAAGTGAGAGTTTAATTTTGGCACAATTTGATTTCTCTTTCACGTCAGGCGATTTATCGGTTTCCATCAATTGATATGCAACAACTTTATACAAAGGCCTTTTTTCAGGGGTATTTTTTTTGAATCAATTTACCAAAAAATATTGCAAATTCTAGAATGTTTGCACGTTAGTGTTCCTATTAAAGGATTCCGCAAGCGCGCCACCTGGGCTAAACCGCGGGAAGACAGCCTTCAATACTTTCGAATAGAGACCAGTAGGCCTATTCAGCGTTTGCAATATTTCAAATGAGCCATTTTGCCTTATAGCTTTGTGTTATGCACGACTTCCACGTTTCTGGCTGTTTGGAAATTCCTTTTGACAGGAGCACTGTGAATTGGTGAAATACACTTGCAATTGTGGCTTTACTGCATTCTAATGAGATACAAGTACATGTACTTGGAAAATTAAAATACAGCCTGCGGCCGGCTTCAGCCGCTGCAGCTGGCCAGCCATGTTAATTATCGCCGGTCGTAGCCACACTCTACAAACAGTGTACATAATTATTAAGGAATAATCAATGTGCCATTGGGAGGTATAGGTTTTCCTGGCTAATTTCCTGAAATGTTCATTCACTTCTGAAAATTGGTCATTTGTTTTTGTCTGAATTTGAATGCACGTCTTTAAGCCCATTACAATTCAACGAAAGTTCAATCGTTTTCATTGACGGTACATTCGGTTTTGAGAAACAGACGGCCAATTACGTTACCTGTGCATTCATTTATACGCAAGCACATCACCTTTTCTAAATTGATTTCAGGTACTGCAGCTAATTTGATTGGTGGTTAATGAAAAAGAAATCCCTATGGTGCCGATGCATTAAACTAAAAGTGAAATAGAATGGTGAATGTTTGAAATCGCCATCTAAAAAACGAAAAAGAATTCTTGTAAACGAATCGGAATGAACATAAACGAAAAGTGCTGCTCGATCACTTGATTGATTGAACTAAAATTGAATCAAATAATGCTCTGGTAGCGAAAACGAACCACGTATTCAGAGCGATTCTCAAATTCAGACGAAAATGAATGACCGATTTTCAGAACTCAATGAAAATTTTAGGAAATTGGTGGGGAAAACCTATATTAAACACTCTGTTTAAGACCGGTTGGAGTCTGGATTCTGATGGGTATATTGTAATTATCAGCATCTAGACTCCAACCAGTCTTAAACAGAATGTAATACCTATCAAGGACATATGCCTACCTAAATACCTTTTCTGTTTAAATTTTTTTTTTAAAAATCGGTCCACAAGAGTAAGTCAAAAATTATACATTTCCAACTATTTTGTTCAAGAAAACACCCCTCTAGCTATACAATGGTAAGGCCTTCTGGTAAACAACTCCTTGTATGGAGATTGGGAGGGGCGGGGGGGGGGGGGTTGGGGGTAGGATATCCTCCCCGTCCACTGTACTTATGACTATGATCACTAACTGATCTTCATAAGCAAGACTCCTGTATAACGTCTGATAAGTCTAGACAAATCGATATGCAAGTCGGGCCCCAACCAATCGGAGTCGACCTTACTAAACCGTGACGTCATTTCATTCCTAAATCAGGACTACATGGTTTGATTGGTCAATTCGAATTTGACATACAACAATGCTGTATTGTAATACAACAGCCGCCGGGCGCGATATCGGGTAACATGATACAGAGCAACCTCGACCCCAGGGTGTCGAGCAGTACGCGCCTATCACTACCTGCTCTCTCACCCTGGTAGTGCAAGATTTTTGAACACGTATGCAAATGAGGAATAGTCTGGTGCCTGCATGTGCGTTACATTATCGTTCGTTTTTGTATGCGGTGTCTGGGGTAAAAAAGTGTCAATTCGTCGCAGCGCGAGCACAGCGTGAGTTACGAAAACACGATTTATTTAATGAAACTGTTACGATCTTATCGAGACAACATGCAGTATCACATTTCATATTAATATGAACAAATTGGAACTGGAAAGGAATGTTTTTGAGAAGGCGTGGACGAATGATCGTGAAAACACGTACTGCACGTTGTGAATAACACCACCAAGTACACGATAAGCCAATTGCGATATCGAATCAGGATACAGGAAGAAAGTTTACTATCCAGGGTTTACTATTGGAAACCAGGTTGGAAATAAAGTAAGCTGGGGACGAGGTTGGATACAGAGCGGCTGACACATATTTTTGTATCCATTGTCTATGGCGGGCAACGGGTGATTGACCGAAGACCCGATATAGAAAGCGCTTGCTGATCAGTCAAAATCTAGGAGGTCAAGAGGCGGGGTCTTGCCTAATCACGGATTAACGACTCAGCCCAACTCCTGGTTAGTCGCGTGATAACGGCCTGTACTGGGGCAAATACTTCATCTATGACGACAAAAACTGCACAATACCATCTGTTATATCCTGAAGTTTTTATTTTTTTAAATAATTTGGAACAATTGTACCTTAAATAAGTAGGTTTACTTACAGTTTTATGAATATTTCCGTTTTAGATGTTGCGATTACGCGCCAACGGATATTAATGCCCGTTATCACGCGTCTAACCAATTAAGGCAAATACACTGAGTGCATTTTAGAGCTCGGAACAGTCGTTTATCCCGGTGTCTAGGATCCGTGGCCTAATTAATCAGCGAATATGTTCATATAGACCATGGCATTCGCCGTGGTCTATTTACAAAAACTACTAATTAAGCAGTTAGAATAGAAGAAAATGCACGCATATCTCCCTGAATGTCAAAGTGCGGCCCAATATGAAATTCAAAGTATAACTGTGTTAATATGCTTTGTTGAACCAAAATCAGAAGGGACAGGTGCAAGCAATTGACATTTATGCATATAGTTTCATTTATTTATACATTAAAGCATTCCACTGATCTGAAGGCAACTCAAGTTGCAGTGCCGTTACAACGGTACATGTTATTCACATTATTATCCGGTATTAACAGTAATTGAGTTACCGGTACTGTAAAATAAGCACACGTTATATCTGAACGATTTTAACCAACATTTCTTGCTTGGAGTCCGTATCCATGTGTTACTTGCATATGTTCAACATAATTTTACACCCAATTTCATGATAAAATTGTGTAGCGTCCACACAAATACTGGAAAATGTGCACCAAATAAAATGAAAAAAGAAACTCAATATTATTTTCATACAATTTAGATGCGTGGATATTTTAACACAAAATACAAAGTGTTTAATTTCTTTCAATATTTTCCTTATAATGTTAATGTTTCCATTATTAGCAGTTGCTGATAATCAGGTAAGAATGTATTGCAGATGTGTCTTTTTGTAGTTTGATTTGGTTCTTTTTATTTGCCCAAGTTCAGCTTCATTTTGCAGTTATATTTTAGACGATAAAATAAACTAGGGCAGTCAGGTTGGCGTAGCGGTACTTTCCTTGCCTTCCACCGCTGTGACCTGGGTTCAAATCCTGCCTGGGCCAACATGTGGATTGGGTTTTCAGTCCCTGCCTGATTCCGTGGGTTTTCCCCCAGAATATTCTTCTGGGCTTTTCCTCCCACCTCTAAAACTGTCATTTCTTCTCATTGTCTTCTCTCTATAGTTGGCCTGATGTTTCTTCTGGGATGCTTTGCCGACTATTATGATACGGATACAGATACAGATACAACTAATATTACCGCTGAATGTTTCAATGCCTTTAGTTTGCGATATATGTATGCCCACCATGCATAGCCTATGAGTTTCCTTTAGAACAATGAGAAATATAAAAGAATGAGAATGAGTACGGATATAAATATGACTTAATAGCAATATCACAGAATTAACATACTACTGACTGCAAGTAGCTTATATCAATGATAATGATGCAATATGGAGTATATACATTACAATTCTAGAAAAATTTGAGGAAAATACTTTGTATTTGTATTATGATAATTGCTACATGTATCACAAATAATAAATAATCAAAATATCTAATTTTACAGTAGATCTTGGCTTAATAGTCAAATGGGTTTAACATCCATAACATGTGTATACTAGGTATTTGATATAAAGCGGTTACATGCAGTAAAGTTACAATATACCAATATAATGTCGCAAAGTCATTTCAGTGAGTCAGTTTGGTATACTTACACACCCTGTATTAAAAAAAATGTCATATTTCATTTGCACAACATCATCAGACTCGACCAAAGACAAAACCTAATCTCTTCTCATCTCAAGGGCGAATCCGGGAGGGGAGGGGGCAACGGGGCCATGCCCCCCTCCCCCCCCCCCCCCCCCAAAAAAAACGAACCCAATTGTTTGTTTTTGTAAGTGACGTCGCATTAAAGGCAGGCACTCTCTTTTCCTCAAAAAAATTGGTTAAAGTTGTCAGAAATTGTCTCAGATCGCACCACACAGCATCTAGAATCAAAAATATTTTTCCTGGCCCTTAAGTGGGCCCCCAACCCCTTGCCGTAATTTTTTGGACCCACTTTTTGGGGAACCAATTTTCTTTTGCCCCCCCCCCCCCAAAAATTGTGTTCTGGATCCGTCCTTGACTCATCTTGCATAATGGCTGCCTTTCTAAGTCGGTCACGTTATTGCACAAAATAATACACTGTTCAAATCTGACAAATTATGTTATAAATGGGGATAACAGCCTCACATAAAATTCATCACACTAAAATTGGAAGTACAAATGGCATTGAAAATACAGCACAGTCTGTTTGAGGCGATGACAACCGAGCAGGAAAAGCGAACGCCTTGCAGGAAACGTGGATGTCACAACCCCCATAATTTGTATTAATAAATACCTTGGAGAGTTGATGGTTTCTGATTGGTCGAAACTCGATCACGTGGCCGGGCATTAACGGTGATAATGACCGGCTTCAAAGAACAAGCGAAAAAAATGGCCCCTGAACCAGCATTGATCCAGCCCCATGGAAGGTCATACGGTAGCTGGTAACAATACAGCACTGCACATGCGCTCAACCACCTTCGCGTGACACTGACGCGCGCGTACGCAACACAGTTGCTATGGGTGTGCGCGCGCGTACACGGAAGTTTTAAAACGACTGGACATCGTACATGTACATAAAGCAGTGCAGTATCTGATATACTGAGGATGTTTACGACGAAAGCGTAGATCTACGATTTATTTTCTTTAAACACTTCGCCCAACGACATATTTACCTTTCCTAAACCAAGCATCTTTGTAATTCTGAACACGAGGAGTGTGTAGACGAAATTTCAGCTTCCCCCATCAGGTAAAAATATGAAAACATTGTTGTAAATATTTTGTTTCACTACGGCAGCAGAAGTTTAAACCCTGGACGTCGTACGCATACGCAATGAAGACGTTGTCCAGCAATGTCCAGCACAGCCTGGGCCCGGCTGTTGGTGTATATAAGTACGCTTATCGAAGAGACAGGGTACCACGCATAAGTTAAAATATGGCCCATGAACATGAACACTAAAAAGTCTGGAAATATCGCCGAAAGAAAGTCACAAAATTGGAGCATTTTAACTGTTTATTTCGTTAAAAAGGTATTTATTAATGGGAATAACAGTGTGAGGATCCGGTCTTCACTGCGTGATAACCGGGTTTGGGGGTGACCGCTGTTAATGGACCTCGCGTCTCGGTCCATTAACAGCGGTCACCCCCAAACCCGGTTATCACGCAGTGAAGACCGGATCCTCACACTGTTATTCCCTTATTCAAAATCATGTGTTATTTGGCAAATATACCGCAATAAATAGTGCCACCTATTGTCTAATAGTGTACAAAAATTTCCACTTTGAACAGCGTCACTATTAGTCAGATAGTGTCCAACCCCCCCCCCCCCTCTTACTTCCCAGTCCGCCTACTTTAAACATGGAAGGTTTGTTGAGGGTTTGTTAGGAATTTGTTGTCACAACACCCCCCCCCCCCCCTTCATCGAAATTAGATTGACGACGCCCATGCATGGAGGCCATAATCTCGCCTCTCAGAACGTAATTGTGAAGTTGAACTTGCATTCCTTGCGGATGTCCATGAGTATCTGCTTGTCTGGTTTGCTCTCCGCTTCCTGCTCCTTGGCGATCTTCTCCAGGGTTCTCTTCAGGTCGGCCAGACGGTGCTTGTGCTCCCAGTAGACAGGCATCTTGAGGATGCTGTGAATCAGGGACAGGTACTCTGTCCTCAGCTGCAAAAAATAGTCCGGAAAGTAAACAACTAAATTTGCTTGCTTGGGTTTTGACATTCACCAATGTAATTCATAAATACTGTATACTCAAGTGTTGTCTTGAGGTCTTGCAAGAAAACCTTCACAAGCTCGCTCTGTGGGACTCGAACCAACGACCTCCTGCTAACTATTGCAGCGGTCTTACCACTCAACCACCGAGCTTGCCGGGGCCGGCTGGCTGGTTTGAATTTAATACGGCAGAGGGCACCCAAAAAAAAATCACAAAATATAACTGATTTCTCAATTTTGACTGTCTGTTGTCTTCTACAAGCACTCTTAAAGAAAAATTGCAACTGATGCAAACCTGGCCCCACAAACGGAACTATAAATCAGTATCTGTTCTGGGTAATTAACCCCAACTCCCCAGCCTAATTTACTAGGAACCGTACCCATTCTGGCATATTCCAACACCCACATGGGAAATTGTACACACACACTGTTGGACTTAGTTTCTGGAGGTATGCCAAACCCAGTGTAAAAGACCATCAGTTTAGGGGTACTATACCTATACCAGCAGATTTAAACAAAACCTGCTGTTGAACTTTGATGGGTTGAATTCGGTTAAGGTTAATAAGGTCACATTGAAGTAGCAGATACAGCCTCGGAGAAGGGAAACAGTCTTTGACACCATCTTTTTCCTCCTTTGATAAACGTTTATCTTTGTTCACCAATCTCTGATCAAAATCTCCTTAAAAAACTTTAAGATGAGTGATGTTACCAATTCTATCTCCTTTTTAGAAGTATTGAAGTAATTTCTTTGTAAAGCGCATTGAGATTTCGTATGTAATGCGCTATATAAGAACTAATTATTATTTATTATTTTACTTGTTTGATTTTTATTTAGTCCCTTTTAATTTTTGTGACGCCTTCCCCTGTCGTTAGATGTCATAACCACGTAAAATAGAGGGGGAGTGTGGCCTAGTGGTTAGGGTTTGTGACTCATGATCAGAGGGTCAGGGGTTCAAATCCTGCTGCTGGTCGTATATTGTGTCCTTGGGCAAGCTCTTTAGTAACCTACAATGAACTGGCATTCCATCCAAAAGAATAGAAAGTCGTTTCGTGCTAAGGAAACTGGAGACAAATGCTGGCCTGATGAGCCATATTGACTCAGGATTACTATTGACTTGTTTACTTTCTTTTTTATTTTGAGACAGAATCAAAATCTACCTTATCTCCTGGACATCTGTCCGTCAGCTGCCTGATGATGATATCAATCAGAACGTTCATGTCATTGGTGTAGAACAGGGAAGAGGTGTCGGCGCTGGCGAAGATGTCACAGAGGATCTTGAGCAGTGAGTTGGGCGGCTTGGGCTCATACTCAAACATCCGCACTGGGTCAACTGGTCACAATGATCAATGGAAAAACAGAATGAAATTACTAAACAGACTTCATTTCATATTAAAGGGAATGTACAACATTTGCTTTTGCTGCAATTTTCAAAAATAAATGGATTTGGAGGATAAGTATGTGATAGCAAATATTGTTCAACTGACTTGCTTCACGTTTTGGGTTTGCAGACGCTGGAAAAACCAAGAAAGACGATCATGTTCTTGTAGTCTGACTCTCTGACCCCACTTAAGATGAAACGGAGCAATTTATAGACTTCAGGGAATTGTAAGGTCAGAGAATCAGTCTAGCAGGCTTGTACCTCTTCACAAGTGTTAGTCAATTGCAAAGAAAATGCTGAATAACTAAATATGAAAAATTAGGAGCAGTTTTTGAAAAAAGCAAGTTTTCTCCAACGCTGGTCGGCCGACCGGCGTTGGAAAAATACAACTTTTCTTGAAAATGTCAGCACATCAGGAGCCACGATTTTACAGGATGCTTTAGACTGTCATTCCCTAACAATCCAGTAAGGTATTTCGTGATAATTTGATCATTTCGTTTTTTGATGTTTGCAAATGTTGTATCTTCCCTTTAAACCTAACCCCTTAGTAGTTGCCCAGAGCTATCCTGCTAGACCCAACAGAGTCCGACGGTAACTCATACATGAGTTCCTGCTCAATCCAACACAGTCCCACACAACCCAACTTGCCAAGTTGTTGGGTGCCTGAAAATGTAAAATGACTGGCCTGCTCAATCCAACAGAATCCAACTGTGCGTTATTTTACTGTTTGCTGCTGGATCCAACAGAGTCCAACTTGGCGTTATTTACCAGTACCCAACTGAATCCGACTCTGAATGTTTTCAGTTGTCTGCTGAATCCAACTGATTTCAACAGGAATAGATAAAGGGTTTACTGCTCAATCCAACAGGACCCAGCGGGTATGTAAAACAGTTGGATCCTAAAAAGTATTACACACATCCCAAATCAAATGAATTCTACTAAATTTGTTATTTTTTATTATCTGCACCTTCACGGTTAACCAGGATCATTATCTTCTCGCTGAATGTTCTTGACGTCTTCCGCCTGGCCAAGACCGTCATCACCAAATTTGCAGATAGATCTTTGAAAGAGAATTGCAAGAAAAGTCTCACTACTTTATATCATCTTTATTTTTTTATATTTTTATGCATATTTGTCCCAAGCAAGGCTAAAAGCCTCAATGCACAGGGCTACAAGAGAAATGAAAGGATGAGTTAGTTCTCAAGAAAAACTGAAAATAGAACTTAACATTCCTCTCGAAACTTGGAAGTTTACAGCCAACCCGAGGATTGAAGCAAGCTCAGGACAATCAGGGGAGGCCAAAGAAGACCATGAGCAACTACAAAGTACTGGTATGATCAGCATCCTATTTACACCAAACTTTACGCAATGGATAAATCATAGAGCTATATTAAATTACTTTGTACTCGTGTACAAAGTAATGCCTGCTGGGCGCATCCATGTTTGTGCACAAACCTATGGAGACCTAGAAATTTTGTACGGCTTTTGTAAGACTATTTGCATATCTGCGTTTGTATTCCATACCGGTGCGTTATCGAAGCCAATACGCCCAAAACTGAAACGCACGATCAGGAAATGAGCGTGTCATTTTGCTCTATTCCCTGCAGATGCTTTTTGCCGTAACATTTTTGTGAACCGTCAATGACGCGCTTAAGTTGTTTGCATATGTTCTACTTGCGCGTTGCATGTAGAGTACACTTTCAAAATTCAATCCATCTAATTTCATTATGTTTCAAAAACACGCACATGAATTCAAAATGTCTGCACCCAGGACGGCTTCAAAGCGTCTCCGCGCGCAGAATGAGGAGTTAGCGCTCTAGTAATTTAATATAGCTCTATGGGATACATCCACTTGCGCCACAATTTATTTAGTCTACTAATGGACCCTTGCGCATGTGAGAGCAGATTAGGCAATTAACTATGCAACTAGACTGCGTATAATTATGACCTCCAGAAACTGACCAATCAGTGGGCACCCTCTATACGCGCATAATGCAAACTCCCCGCACTGGTAAACATTACGCCAACAATGAGCAGCATTTTGCTAACAGTTTTGAGAGCCAGAGTCACGTCAAGGTACAGGTTGTTGTATTACAAAAACGTGGCATCAAAATTGACCAATCAAAATCTGTGTCCAGATTTCGGAATGAAATGACGTCACAAATTTCTTTGCATGCTTAGATATATCATACTTTGGACCCGAGACAGAGAAGGCTCCGCTAGACAACGGGTGATACTCAAACTACAATTTATTGTGCAAGATGCGCAACATGTCACACTGCACAACATTTCAGTAATATGACAATTTCACGAAAGTGTCATAGTGCGTAAGTCCGAGACTTGCGCAACAAATTGTGGTGCAACTTGCGCAATCATTTTAAGTGGCGTAACTTGTGGCATAGCCACTAAAAATTACTTTTTTTTTACCAGCAAATCATGATCGCCGTGAAGCCTATTATTGCACAACTTAACAAGGTTGATACAAGACACTCACAGCTTTCTGTTTGAAAGTAAAAGAATTGCTATTTTACTCATGATAGAGTCTTTAGAGTTTCCGCACGATTCAAAAGAAAGCGGGAAAAAAATGTTTTCAAAACTTGTGGGCGGAGGTGATTTCACGATTGTTTCATGAACGAACAAAATCATACACAAACAGCCGCCGTAAATACTGTTATTAATCTCGTCTAAGATGTTTAGATTATTTAAAACGTTGCGTTGTTGAATAAACCAACCTGTAAAGTGAAGATTGAAGGCCAGCACAAGATTGACAAACAGATCCGGGATTTGCTCTGATTCGTCCTCAGGCGGCGGATCCTCAATGTTGTTGAGTAAGAAGCTGACAAACTCTTCGTTCAGCTGATCTAGATTTCCATGTGACAGAAACGAAAGACATCTTATTTTAGTTTTAGACTAATGTTTAACTTTTACTTTTCAATTAATTTTTTTTCATGGCACAGCCCGCACTCAGGCATGTCAGGCACTAAAATTTGCTGGAATTCTCTTGAATGAACTATGTTTGGAAAATGAAATAATACTTTATCAGAAAATATGGTTGATTCGGTTGGTTCTGGATGAAAAAAAAGAAGATTTTCTCGTGTGATTTTTTTTTCGCGTGAAGCAGTTCTGATCGATTCAGAACTGATTGAACTGATCCGGAAATAGGAAAAGTGACATCGGTACTTTTGACGTCGTAAAATCGAAATAAAAAGAGCTTAAATTTTGAAAATTATTTGGTCTCTCCATCACTCAAGGTAAACTTTTTAATCAACGTCTCTTGAATTCATGGAGTAGTTGAGCTGAAAGCTGCCTGAATGATGTTTGCTAACCGGAACTAGGAAAATGACTGGACTACCTTTGAATGTAACATGTATTTCTCAAACTTATAGATAGGGAGTGGAAAATAAACATGGTTTCGAGCATTTTATGACAACAGAATTCACTGACTTTCCCCTGATATTTGCCTGTAGTGAGAAATTTCTAACATTCCATGAGAAATATTTTCACTTTAACGAGGTTGCTGGGAAGTCTAGAGGTGGTGACAGCACAGCCAACTGTTATTGTCTGGAGAGGTGTGTAATATTCACACTGCATAAACACTAACAAGCCACCAAAGCCAGTCAGTCAACGGACACAACTTGGACACAGGGCACAAGACGCACATATGCCAAACTGGCGAAAACCTTTCCCTTCTGGGTGAACACTGTCAAATTCCCTGAGTTTTCCCTGATTTTGGTGTTTTTCCCAAATTCACAGAGTTTTCACTGACTGAAGAAAATGGAATCTCATTTACAATGTTTTCCCTGATTTCCAGAGTGGCTGGAACCCTGACAACCTTAAAGCTACAGTCCATCATTTGTAATTTGTGCATTTTTTTCGTTTGAAGCAACAAAGTGCTCAAAATCTAAAGAAGGGTGCTGAACAACTAAACCTGATGAAGTTTCAGCTCAGCTTCAGCTGTACGCTTCGAGAAAAACAACATTCTAGGATCTCAATTTCAAATCAAAAGTTGCTGAATCATGTTTTGAATCGGCCCTGAATTCAGCGTTCGAGACACGTTCTCACTGAGCCGATTGCAGCTACGCGATGTCGCGCACCGATCCGACAAATTATAGCAACCACGCGCGCGTGTGCATCATGCCAACGCTTGCACACGTTACACCGAAATAAAAAAAACGAACTACTTAATACAGAAATTTCCACCAGTGCTTCTTGAGACGCACCGTTGGAAAGGCCTTCTTTCGTTGATTTCTTCAAAATGACAGCTTGCCAGAAAGAATAGTTTCACAGGGAGTTTAGTCTCCTTACTATCTTTCAACCAAGTATGTTTTTTAACAATAATTACGCCAGTTAGTTTTTGGATAGGTGCAAATGATGGACTCTGGCTTTAACCTAAACCCTGAGCATACCGTAGTGCGTGTAAGGCAGTGGCTGGCCGCTGGACAGTAACATTGTGGCTACTAGTGAGGAGAAGCAGAGCTTCTGTAGGCTCCGGGCGTCCGCCTGCATGTCCCGGGCGAGTTCAACCAGGAGGACCGAGCTGAGTAGTTGGGAGAGGATGAGTGACTCCAGACCGCACAGGACACCGAAGGCCTTGAGGAGGAGGAGACGCAGGGAGGTGCGGTGCTCCTGAGGGGTGAACGTAGTATGACATAGTATACACATATAGACTGGCAGTGAGGTCACTAGTGCACGTCTATGTGCTCCAAGGGACTGTGAGTGACCAGAGGAGGGTCCTATTTCCCGAGGCCGAAGGAAATAGGGCCCTCTTCTTTTAGACGTGCACTAGTGACCGAATTCTGCCAGTCCACGTTTTATAACTCACAATAAGGAAAGAAACTTTTCAGGGTTTTATAGTTGAACTGTTTTAATTCAACAATTAACTCATAAGCGATTAAACTATAAGCAATTCAACAATTAAAGGAACGCTTTTAGTTTCCCTTGATTCAGTTTTTGAGTTTGAGTTTTTGAGAGGGCGATGTAACCAGTCAAAAATTTTCGAGTATAGTGCCCGATCGGACACTATAATCCGGAAATTACGCGCGTTATGTCTTGACGGGCGTCTAGTTCACATTGATGCCAATTTCATGCACTAGCCTATATTAGTGAACCATACGTGACCGTGTTTCAGCCAACCAGGATGAAGAACCAGCAAGAGGTGTGTTATAATGCTATCTATGACCCAACTAGACCAGTCAAAGGTACAGTCCATCATTTGTAATTTGTGCATTTTGTTTGTTTCAAGCAACAAACATGCTCAAAATCTAAAGAAGGGTGCTGAACAACTAACCTGATGAAGTTTCAGCTCAGCTTCAGCTGTATATTTCGAGAAGAACAGTATTCTAAGATCTCAGTTTCAAATCAAAAATTGCTGAATCATGTTTTCAATTGGGCCTGCATTCAGCGTCCAAAACATGTTCTCACTGAGCTGATTGCAGATACGCGCTGTCGCGCACTGATCCGACGAATTATAGCAGCCGCGCGCGCGTGTGCGTCGTGCCAACACTTGCGCGTGCTTCGCCAAATAAAAAAAAGGAACTACTTACGGAAATTTCCAACAGTGCGTCTTTAGACGCACCGTTGGAAAGGCCTTCTTTTGTTGATATCTTCAAAATGATAGCTTGCCAGAAAGAATAATTTCACAGGGACTTTAGTCCCCTAATCTTTCAACCATTTTACGAATTCACTCGGCACTTCGCACCTCGTGAATTCTTAAATTACGAATCCACACTTTCTCGTGTATTCTCTTTAACAAAACTTGAAGTGTGGTTGCTAGCTCAATGGGCAAAAGCGGTTTTGCCAAACTTGAGGGAGTTGTGAAGGGCAGAAGACTAGATAGGAGGATTAAGTTCAGTTGTTCACACAATTAATCATTAACCATCTTCCCTTGCCTTATTTGACATGGTATAAATGGACTTCCAGTCAATAAATTAGAGAAAAGCTGTGAAAAATGGAAACATTTGATGTTTTAGCAGTACCTCAATATTTATTCCCAGTATATGTATTAATGGTGGCTGGTGCCTCGGACTCAACCTTTGTCCAATTCTGACTCGTGACTCGGACTTGTTTAACTTAATCACTACATTTCAAATTCAAACATTCAAAATAAAAAGTCCAGTTGGAATAATCGAACACTAAATTATTCGAAAATTGTACAGCCCTACACCACTTTGTTCTTACCATTTGGTAGTACAAGACCAGTGAGTTGATGACTTCGTAGTTGTCTCTGTATATGACAGCTTTGCACACATCAGGATTGGCGTCGCTCTGAAAGGAGGGGATATTGATGTGAGTCAGTGTCACATGATCGCTGTGGCCATGCGTGTTGTGCCCTTGAGTAAGGCGCTTTACCTCAATTACTCCTCTCAACCCAGGTGTTAAATGGGTACCGGCATTATTCAATGCTGGGAAGGTAACAGACTCGCTGTGGAGGAGGTGTGGCGATCCCCCCACAGCAGCATATGAGTCTGGCCCAATCGCTAATGAAAGAGAGATGGGCACTCCGTTCCCGTTAACACAGGTTCGTCCCCTTTACCCTTTACTTTTTACCAGTGTCACAGAGCCTCACAGAGTTCATATCAGTTCATGAGTCTTACATTCGCACTAAAAGTTGTGATAGGGTTAAGCTCAACCATCCTACAGTTCCACGTCCAAAGCCTAGTTAGACATACCGTGATCATGCTTTTGCCACCTATGCACCAACTCTATGGAACAGACTTCCATGATATTTGAGAATTATTTATGCATCTGGATCTTTAAATCACAGCTTCAAACTGTAACGGGATGTTAATGTGTTTTAGAATATTGTACACTTAGGCTCTCCATACTAGGATTGCTGCATGATGGGAAAAGAGATACATTGCTTGTCAAGATGGCTCCTGTTGGTTGATGCATGTATGATTAAAATGTGATTGTTTGTCGATCGTGAATGCCAACTGTCCGTGATTGTCTGCTGTTCCCGCATTGACCATACGAACCTGAAGTGACGGTAGACTCCGTTACAAGACGTTTCTTTGTGTACTTTTAACTCTTTTCTATCTAACCGGCTTACTCTTCGTGTTGTTTTGATGTCTGGTAAAGCATTTTGAGATTTTAATGTAAAACGCTTTATTAACCCCAACTCTATGGGCATTTTTGCTAGGATGCAACCTCAATCTTGCAAAATCCTCCAACTGCTTTCATGTAAAAATGGCATACAGCCTCAACCTGCTAAATGCTCCTTTATTTCTTGAATGTGGTCCTTGGAAGGGTGACCACTGCCTCAATTACCGTGTGCTGCCACGAGAGTTGGGTTAATAAGGCGTTTTGCATTCAAATCTCAAAATCCTTCAGCAATCACTGTCAATATGTTGAGGCAGAGCCAGTGACATCCTGGAGCAGTGCCGAGGATTTTGTAGGCCTAATATTATGCACTGCTGAGCATTAACAACACAAGGTCCGGCCCAAGACCTTGACACAGTGCATCCTCCAAAACCAGCCACACCTTTGGGAAGGTTAGGGTGAATCACATCGATGATCTACTTACCAAGATTGTCGTGAGTTCCTCCAAGTATTCGCTGATGACTGCCTCATCTTCGTGCAAGGCCCAGCTCCTCTGCTGGGAGTCGTTCTTGCAATCTGTCAGCTCCGCAAAGATGACCTCTAACCTTTCCTTGTCCATACTGCCCTCCAGGGACAACTTGCCGTCAGACACTGAAGCATTCTGCTTGTCATGGGAAAAAGATCTGTGCCAGTTCTTGTGTTGGCAATGAGTACCTTGTACCTTTTTCTTACAGGTACAGTCCATCATTTGTAATTTGTACATTATGTGCGTTTGAAGCAACGAAAGTACTGAAAATCTAAAGAAGGGTGCTTAACAACTATCCCGATAGAGTTTTAGCTCAGTGAATGCTGTATATTCCGAAAAAGCAATATTCTAGGATCTTGATCATGTTGATTCTAAATCAAAAGTTGCTGAATCCTGTTTTGAATTGGGCCTGAATTCAGCGTCCGAGACATGTTCTCACTGAGCTGATCGCAGCTACGCGATGTCACGTACGATGTCACGACAAATTATAGCAACCGCGCGCACGCGTGCGCGTCAACGGTTACAAGCGCTTCGCTGATTTAAAAAAAACGAACTTATAACGGAAATTTCCAATGATGCATCTTTAGACGCATCGTTGGAAAGGCCTTCTTTCATCGTGTTCTTCAAAATGACAGCTTGCCAGAAAGAATCATTTCACGGGAGTTTAGTCCCCATACTATCTTTAAACCATGTTTGTTTTTCAACAATAATTATGCGAGTTCCTTTTTGGATGGCTGCAAATGATGGACTGTAGCTTTAAAGTTGCATCTTGCTGTGCTCTTCAATTTTGTTTCAAAAAAACCTCCTTTTTTTCCTTTTTTGGACTTCTGCAATTCTCTGTAAAATTAAGAGGTTTTTGTTTCGGGAACAAACAGATCCGCTTAGCAAGCAGACTGGCTCCCAGTCTGTACATAATATAATTAATACTGATTGTTCGGCGGGAACCAGCCTACTCCGCGAGAACGGAATTATTGTCTGGCAGCCAATCATTTGAAATTTAAATTAATCATTCAATAACTTGACGTACCTGGGCAAAGTTTTTTTCCGATTTATTTCTCGTCCGAAAGTGAATAACTTTTGTACTGCTTGAATGTTAGCAATATAAAAAAAAGGCATGCAATTTTTTGGATGAAACTTGAAAAAAAGCAAGGACGGGGGAATGCAACTTAAACACCAAATCTACTACAAATTCATCTCGCACAAAATCTAGTAAAAATTCATCTCAATTACATTTCCAGGATAAGCTGTGGAAAAAGTAAACAAAAAAAAGGGAAAAAATATCAAAGTTTTGTTGACTTGCTGCAACAAAACGAGCCATACATGTTTACATACAGGGTTCGACCTTAACTTTTTTTTAGCTAGCCAGCCGGGCTACTGAAACAGACTCTTAACTAGCCCGCGGGCATTTTCACTAGCCCGTATTTTTTTTTTTAGCTCAAATACAAAATGGCGCATTTTCAGGCTCTATTCTGAGGGAATTTTGTCAGTGTTTTTAATAAACAGATCTAATAATTTAACCTTTTAAAACAGTTGAAAAAACTAGACAACAATTGATGAGGTTTACTTCCTGAATTAAATGATTTATTTCTATAATTAATAATAATTTGACTCGCCAGCCGGGCTACTTAAGGAATAGTTTGACTAGCCTGCCACTGTTTCAACTAGCATTTGGCTAGCGGGCTACCGCTAATTTCGAACCCTGCATGTATATATTGTCTGACTTGGTTCACTATCGTCTGCTTTGAACAGCGCCTCCAATGGTCAGATGGTGTCAACCCCCTACCCCCGACTTGTTGATTATGCAATGTCTTCATGACTGGAAAACAAAAATATGGCTACCTTTGTGCGTGGAGAGTTTGCTTGGCCAACATACTTCCCTCCCCCCCCCCCCCCCAGCAAAATCTTGCTTACACCACTGGAAGTGACGGACCATCAATGGAGCAACGATCCATGATACCTCAATCCCAGGTGCAACCGACAAGTTACATGAAGCGGTAAAAACAAAAAACACTTACTGCTGTCTGCTGTAGAGACTGAAGGATCTTGTCCATAGTCCCAGCCACTGACGGGACAGACTCCCTGACATGACTGAAGACAGCGTTTAAAGCCGTTGTGCATTTGGCATAACTCAGCCCAGTGTTTATGCGCACGAGCTCCAGCAAATCTTGGCCGAGTTTGCCTGGCACGGACTCCGAAGATGGACTCCGAAGAGGAGACGTGGGCTCTGCATGCGTTGCGCTCGGCTGCCGTTCGGTGTCGTTATTTAGCACCGGCGATGAAAGTCTGTCATTGGGCGGGTTTGACTCTGTCTCCGGTTGCGTTGAGGAGGGTGGTGGGCTCTTTGAAGTCGTCTGTGTGTCACTGGCTCGGATGGGCGGGGGTGGGGCTGATCGGTGTTTCCCTGATGACCGTGACTTGGAGCGAGTTGGAGCTTGCTTTTTGACCGGGCTGTCTGCAGACGCAGACTGGTTTTTTAATACTGTCTGTCGATGCTCGATTAGCTTCCTTGATATAAACAAGAGGAAATTGTTAAGACTTTTAAGTAGCACCTGTACTGCGTTGTACTACATTGTATCGTTTTCATGATTTGAGACGGCATAAACAACACCTATGCACAGGTACATGTATGTCTCTCAAAAATGCAGGTATGCACAGGATTTGCAATAAGCCATGCCCATGATGTAACCCTAACCCTCCTTTTGTTTGATCAGTCAAAGACACTCAGAAAATTCTTCCACTTCCTCTATCTGCCATGCATTTGTATAAAGGCTGGTAAAAAAAAAGAAGGGATCACTCTAAACACTGTTAATAGTCAAATTCCATCAACAGACAACAGAGGTAACTAGAAGGTACAGCTGGCATATCAATCACCTCCAGTCAAAGCATGGCTATATCAAATAAACAAGGGAACTCTTAACTGTTAAAAACACAGTCACTTGATTGATTTTGGCTGCTGTAACATGTAGCTGAATTCATCAGCCAGAGAAGGAGGGTTTTAGATGTCTTACATGCACAACTTCTGAGACGTGTGTACGTGTTCTACATAACCCCCAAGAACAGACACACAAAGGGAGAACAACAGATCCTTTCAGTCCTCCAGCGTTGGGTCTTTTGTTCAAAACGGTCCTTTGTAGTCAGTTTGTGTGCTTAATCTATGGGAGAGTGCTGTATTACAGGGACAAAGGGAAACACAAAGCATTGTCTTCGGGAGTATACAGACATGCAACTGGGAAGTCACAAAAAAAGAGGAAATTTAAATCTTTCCAAGATTTTGTACAGTGTTTTTCTATTTTCAATGGCACACATTGGAAGTGAAAAAAGAGGAAATCAGCTGATCCGAGGAAAAGTTGCATGCCTGAGTATAGTAAAACAAGAGTGGGTGCACACGCTATGAGTAGATTTCACTTACTGTAGTGTTTTCCTCTGCTCGTGGGTGAATGTGCCGCCTTTCTGAGTCGCTGACAGGTGAACGAACTCGATCGCCCTGTCGATGGATGAAATGACGTCATCTAGTTTCTGGTTTTCAAAAGAAAAAAGAAACAGAAAAATATCAATAACAATTATAATCGTTATTATTATAAAGCATTCTTAGGCAAGATATATTAATCCTCCTCCTGAAAAGAAAAAAAAAGAAGAAAAAAAAAAAAAAAAAAAAAAAGAGGCACAAAGTCATATTGCTGTAAATCTAATGGGTTGGGGGAATGTCTGTGCCCCTCTAAACTGATAAATCGAGAATATGATGGGAAATCATTTGGGGGGGGGGAATATGTTTTGCCCCCCCTCTAGAAAAAAATCCTGGGGACGCCCATGTTTGGAAATAGATATAAAAACCTCCAACAAGACTCTGTGACTACTCTGATCACCATGCAAACTGTTAGATTGAAGCACTAGAAATATCAATATGTCGGCTTATGGGCGTTACATGAGAATTGAAAATTAATGTAGACCCTGGTCATTTGATCGAAGCTTTCGATGGCAATGCCCAAGACTATCTTGACAAGCTTGCCATAAACAGATCTACTGACAGGTCAATTGTAGCAACGTATCTCAGATCTGGCAGACAGAAAAACCTGCCAAGAGGAGGGGCCAAAAAAAAAAAAAATGGACCACGACTTGAAGCTGGAAAAAAATTGAAAGGGTGAAAGAAATGGAAAGACTCACATCGTCTACTTTCGTTTACTTTCATTTTGAATGCAAAAAGTGCTAAATAGAATGCACAGAAATGAAAACGAAAACAAGAATCTCATGCAAATAACCCTAAACCAAAGCGACTGCTAAATTGAATAATCACTTAAACCAAATGACATAACTTCAATTTAGGATGTGTAAAACATGGAAATGTCAGGTCTTGAAACGAATTTGAATGCCTGAAAACTAATACGAACCAGAGTAATGCCAGCAGGACGCTACGTCGCTTCAAATTGGCCACTATCAAGATGAATTCGAATGCTATTTTTGCAAAATTGGCCAGGAAAACCTATAGTAAATAATAGTGAGTCTACAGAATTCACAAGTATTCTCAAACCTACATGGTCTTTTATTTCCTCAATGTAATTGTGTGGCACAAAGCCAACATGTCCATGGACGTCCGCTACTTGCCACCAGTTGGGGTCAGCGCTGCCGTCCAGCAGGGTGAACCTATCGCCTTCCTCAAAGCACAACGTGCCTGGTTCGCTGGAATTGTATCTGTATAACGCTTTGTAGCTCATGGTTGGTCTGTGCACGGACTCACTGACACCGAGTCATTTTACACTGGAAAGGAAAAACGCAAGAGAGTGAGTGCCAGATCTTTGGTATTTCATGGATCTGTTGCCCTACATGACTTAGGGGCAATCATGTAGTGTAGGGGCCGGTTCCTATAGTATAAGGGAACAAAGTCCACTTTAAAATTATTAGACCGACCAAACTAGTTTAGTTGGTGACATTCTCAATAAACGGGTACATGTATAAAGGGCAGGCTTTTGATTTTTTTAGGGGAATTCGGGGATAAAATTTAAAATGACGATGACAGCGCGGCGACAACACGCAACCCGAAAATAAAGGTGGCAATCACAGTGCGATGTACCGTGAGCACGCACGGTGCGCTGAATCGCAAGGCACAAACCGTTCAGGAAAATCGTGATTTATAACTTTTTTTTGACCATTTTCACTTGTACCCCCAATCCAAATCTTCAGATTTCACGCCAAAACAGCCTTCAAACTGCCATATGCGACCCTGTTGGCTTCAGCGGGGCACTTTGATTGGTCACCAATCCAGGTGACCAATCAAAGTGCCCTGTGATTGGTCTGTCTGATGCTTTTCCTGAATTCAAAATGGCAGCCTCAAACATAGACCCGTGAACGTGGCATTGTATACGTTCACGGGTCTACCTCAAACAAGGCGTTTGTGGCAAGGATGTTTCCCAAATTGAAGGTGACATTTCTCTAATTGTCTTCTTCAAAATTCTTCCAAAAGGTATGTAAACCTAACCACCACCATCTGTATTTCCAATTCCCACTGAAGCCTACAGGGTCGTATCTTGAGTAACTCCAGCTGACATGCTCATATTCATTCACATGTAGCGCTGGAGGCATAACCTGTTCGTTAGAATGTGGTAGCAAGAGACCCTAAAAAAATGGCCTCTCAAAAATTGTTAATTTTCACCTCTAATATCCCACCCCAGATTTCATTTACATACCTCATACATTCAGCAGTCATTTATGAAGCCTTTAATGATCAACTTGAAACAGACCACAAAAAAATGTGAAAATTCTTGACGATTTCGGTGGCTTGACCAAAAAAAACCCGCCAGTCAGCCAGTTCCAACAGCTGTCGTCCATTTTATTTTCCTAATTATGTAAATGTATGCATCACGTGATGACTCTACTATCGCCGACCATGTCATAATAAAGGCGATTCGTAGAGTCCTAACTAAGTACACGTATTTCCTAACAACAAAATTGGGCATGTTGGAAATGTTTCTCAAACCCAGATTCATCATTTTATGTCATTTCTACATTTTTGCTATGACTGACCTTTAGGCCCTATTGAGATAATATATAATGAAAAACTGGGGTCAGGATGCAACATTCTTTCCTTGCACACAACTTACCAACATCCCCCAACAAAATGAAACAATGTACAATTCTTCACGAAATAGGTGAAATGTCGATGAATGGGCGTAGCCCATATCGCCTGACCCCGTCCTTTAATACTCTTTATTCACACTCGCCCAAAGCTAAAACACCCAATATAACTAAGCAAATATCTTAACGCATTGGGGAAATGATCTCACTTCCTTGTCACATTAATTCAACTTACCATGCACAGTTCAGGAAGATTTCCTCTCGTGAGTTACCGTGAACGTGACCAACGACATGAATGAACGAACAGGCAAGTGAGCCCTCTCGTGGTATATTGTACGACCTATATATGGAAGACAAAAAAAATACTCGTCAAGGAATTAAGATTCTACGGAGCTCCTAAACCGACAATTAAATATATATATTTTGTGCGCACGAAATAATTCTCTGGTGAGCACGAATAATGCGCACACACGAAATAAATACTTTGTTCGCTAGCTTGTTTTTTTTCTCGAGAAATACAAAGGTTACTCGCTTTTAAATGAGACATCGAACGAAAACAAATCAGCCATTTTTTTTTTAGTTTAGCCGTCCCGATGTGGATCCTCAGTTTATGGGTGCACCATATAGAATAAACAATTCCCATATATCAGTGATAAATGTCAATTCTTCGCAATACTTTTTAAAATATTCAAACTCTCACAGATGTATTTACAAGCTCTACAGAGAAATGATGGTCAACGTACGTGGTGTCTTTCATTTTCCTTTCAAATTTTGGTTGGTTGACCGATGACTTATGAGAAATTCTCACATACATGTAAAGATAGGACCACCCCTAAAACGAATGATAACAACCAATCATTGGTTGAAATAATCAAAAATTGGTTAATATGTGTCCAACCAATCGGGTTTGTTGTATGGGCAGATTTTAACCAATATTGGTTATTTTAACTTATCGGTTATTAGAGAGTAGCCATTTTGAAAAAGGATCCCTCCACAACATGGCTAAATATAGCGCCACTTTCGGACCCAATTGCATCCGAAATGCTCAGAGCTCGAGTCCAGGCCAAAGGCGCAGTGCCATCAATTCCTCAATTTCCTGCTTTCAGAACTCTCTAATAATTATAATTTGAGTGTATAACTTTGTTCACGAGTTCAGCGGACGGACATTAATTGGCCTAGTTACTGGGCCGTTGTACCCGTATGGGAAGATCGGACTTCGACAGTCCGCTGAAAAAAAAGCGAGAGGTACCATTAAGTGACAATATAATTATGTAAGAGCGTTACACGTGCGCGTGTCGGACCTACACTACACTAGTAATGCTGAGCCATACTACCAAAGTTACCAATGGCATCCCTACATTTTCTCGTGCATATAGGACCCATTTTTGGACCCCAACTTTTTATCAAATCTGCTCATACAGCGTGTGTCAATAAAAACCCAGGATTCAAAGCGATTTTTTTCTGAGAAAATTATGCTACTGGTGTGTCTAATTTGATAAAGATTTGATTGTCCATAATTTCATCTTTGACAAGATTTTTGTTTGGTGGAATTTGGACTTTTGGTTCAAAAGTTATGACACGTTTTGTGAAGCCCTTCTGAAGCGGGTTGGTCTGATTCAATGACCTTAACACAACGACCAGTTATGTACAATACAGGTATGCATTAAAGACAATTAAACCAGAACAAAACTTTCTTTGAAACAACTGATGATAAGTATCACTTAAATTTAATAAGTGGACTATCATTGTTTCAAAGCATCATGAATTATTGACTAATAACATTGATTGTGGACTAAAGGATTATGTAAGCCTAATCCTGCCACACATGTCCTTCTTTGTGATCCACAAATACTTTCACCTGTACTGAATTCAAACCTTTCATTAGGTATGTGTGATTTCACAAATCAGACCAGCTTGGAATTTATAACCCTTCTTCAATGTACTCTATCTCTGGACAGGGTTGTCCAAATGAGATGAGATAAAAAGCATAGTGAAGAGAAGGAAAGGTACTTTGTAAAGAGGGTTAACATTATGATGAATAGGGGTGGTTTATATTCTTAATATTTTTGTTTCTAATCCTGCGTTTTTATTGACACACGCTGTAGATAATAGCCCAAAAGCTAGGGAGATGATCCTCGGTAATACTCGCACGATTCCACCGATTTTTAAACTAGACGGTCTCGTTTTTTCCACAAAATTGTGGGGGCACTTTTTATGCAAAATTCACGTAAATTTTTGAAACCCTAAACAAAATTATTGCGCCCGCTGTCGGTTTCATTGCGCCACTAATAAAACATCATTTCAGCTGGGTTTTGTTACTTTTGTAGTAGCTTCACTTCCCCCGCCAACAACTAAAACAAAATAGGCAAAATACTGACAACCTTCCAAGGATATCAAGTGTCTCACATCTTTATTTTGTCTCACATATTTATTTTGTTTAATTCCTTAGTCTTATTGACATACAAATATTTAAACCAATTCATACAAACAAATACAAAAGATTCCAAATGAGAAAAAAAGTTGGGCAGAAGGCCAATAAATTTGAGAAATTAATAATAACTTTATATCATAGATGATTATTACATAAGCAACGACTAGGCCTACATGACTGTGCACGGTAAAGCCAGGTTTTTGTATTTCGCCATTTTGTGAATAAGATTTTTAAAAGGGAAGATAAAACTGGGAATGCCCCCCCCCTACAAAAAAAAATATCCTAGATTATTTTGAAACATTTCAGGACTATATTTTGTCTAATTTAGCTATTATGTGAAAACAATAATTGATGCGAGGCAAGTTCAACACTCGATATATATTTCGTTTATCCTTTTGTGAGGTTAGTTAATTATTAATAAGAAAATGAAAAGACATGCAAAACCACAAAGAAAAACAATTGTGCATACGAAGTAAAAAATATAACAAGTGAAAAAAAAGTGCAATGAAATAAATCACAAAAGGACAAACACAAATGAAATTTGAGTGTCACTTATACCTGTTGCAATGCAATGGATAGAAGTTCCTGAACAGTTTATTCTTTAAATTTTGGATGACCCAGGACAGATCAAAGGAACATCCCTTCTCCCAGACATCTCACTGCTAAAAAGCCAGTGACAAATTATTACTCTTACAATAATATTTCAGCAAGTTTCCATTATTGTCCATTGTTAACTGTCTGTTGCAGTATCCGGTTTAAGATTATTTTAGAGGCATAAATAATTTAATGAAATCAAAATTACTTTTCATTTTATTTTAGTGTTGTTGCTTTAGTGTATAACATTAATGACGTTGCATTATGCAGTCTGATTTATCATTTCATATTGTGCAAGCTAGTTTTTTTAACTCAAGTTTCCGATGAGGGCATCCTTGTCCAGTAGAGCAGCTTCGTCATTGTCCAGTCTTGTCCAAGCTTAGTGGTCCTCATGTCCTAAACATGACAAAATAAGCAAGCAAATTAAAATAAAAACACAATAGGAAATCAAGCACTGTGGATTTTGTAGGAGGGACAAACTACAATCAGAGAAATAACAAATGATAACCCTTATACCCTGGTCTTTTTTCGTTTTTAAAGTAAACTCACCTCAAAAATCAGTAATGGCCAGGCCAGCAGACGGTGTCAGTCCATCGTCGGTCCTCCCAGCTTACGATGGCTTGAGGCAGGCTCATCCTCATCTCAGTAAGCCAATTCCCTCATCAGTCAGTGGTCCTCATTTCTCTACAAGGATTCAAATGACGAAAAAAAATCTGAAATATTATTAAGAAATATGTGCAAGGAGAAAGAAAACTTCGATTTTTACCCCACAAAGCAACACTACGCTATACCAGCACTCGTTGTGGAAGAACACAGAAAAGCGCCAATCACCAATTTTGAGTTCTGTGACGAAGAGGAAGACTACATGTAAACTAACTTCAAGAATCAGTAATGGAAGCCCAGCAAACAGGTCATCCGTCCATCTGTCGGTCCTCCTTCCTGCTTCCGGTTCCTGGAGTTTCCGTGTGATGAGGCTGTTGGAGCCTTGGAGGGTTGATTTTCGTCCAGACAAAGCAGCCTAGCTCATCCATGCAGTCTCAACATTTAGATTATCAGTTTTTTGATGAAAGCTGCAACTCTTTCCTAAGTGGACAGGGTTACGAAACCACTGGGCCTAGCCCATTTGTTACTGAAGTGAAACATTGCAAATATAGCCAATATAATTATGTCTAAGCCTACCTATAACCAGGTCATGGGTAGGACCCAATGGAAACCAAACGATTCTAGCCATGTTTCCATTATTTCCTTTTTAAAACAGACACGATTACTCATAATGTGCCGACGCTGATAATGGCAGGTTGCTTTGGAAACTGCATATAACTCGCACACTATAAACAACCATTAAAAGAAATTCACGTGACATTAAGATGACAAAATGCCATCTTATTCCTTGCCGATCCCTTCCAAATCGGACTTACATTGAACATAGTGCTATACGGAAGGAGGGTTATACACGTAGGCTAAAATCAACAAGGAAATAGCAGTTTTCTATGTTACTCTAAACCTGTCGCATATCTTGAAATGCTTTCTTTTGAAATTTACGTTAAGTACGGTATACTCGTAGCCCACAAAGATTTGATCGTGAAAGTCTATATTAGACCGATCTTTTTAACTACTGCAACGCTTTTTTTCGTTATGGTTTTCGTGTTCTCCCCTTCAATAAAACAGCACTGTCGGCCTCGTACGTTATCGCTTTACGACTTTTTAAAGCAGTGTAGTACCGTACCGGAAGTGGCTGCCGATTATAATTTGATTTTTTTTTGTTTTATTTCGGTCATTTTTCATTAGCAATTTTTTGCATGGCATAGGGCCTAGAAGTTTAGAAAATTACCGATTTTCAAATATTTATTTCTTTCGCTGCCGCTGTTAATTTTTTTTCTGTAATTTTCGTCTCTTTAATTTCGTTCTTCCGCAATCGATTTATTTTACTTTGTAGGTAAGAAAAATAACACTGATATCAAGTATTATTTCTCTAACTAACCCTGTGATTTTTTAGCCGTGTAAACTATGTTTCGTCACTTTACTTATTTGCCGCGTTGATTTTCGGTGTAATTTTCGTAATTTTCCTGTAGCTACCTGTAGAAACAAAGTGCCGTGCTGCGAGAAGAAACTCCACGTACTACGTGATTTTCGTTGTTATTTAATTTGGACCGATTTGATTTTGTTTTGATCCAATATTCCGCAAATTGAAAAGTGTCTGACGAGGGCATCTTTGTCCAGATAGAGCAGCTTCGTAATTTTCCAGTCTCATCCAAGCTTGGCGGTCCTCATCTTCTAAAACATGACAAAAGAGTAAACTAGCAAAATTTAGAATTAATATTTAAAGAGGAAATCAAGCATCGTAAGAGGTGACATAGTATTAAAGAAATAACAAATTTAAGTGTAGGCCTATCCCTGGTCTCTTTTCAAGTAAACATACCTGACCTAATGGCCAACCAAGCACGCAGAGTCAGTCAACCGTCGGTCCTCCCATCTTATGGTAGCTTGAGGCAGGCGCATCCATCTCAGTAAGACAATTCCCTTATCAGTCAGTGATCCTCATGTCTGTAAAAAGATTCAAATGACGAAAGAAAATATCCGAATTATTATTAAGAAATTATCTGAAAGGTAGAGCAAGAGGGGGGGGGGGGAAGAAATGTTCGAATTAACCCCACAAAGCAGTGCCCCACTACCAGCACTCTTTATTTGTGGGAGAACATAGAAGAGCGCCAGATCACCCATTTTGATTACTTGTTTCTGCTTATTCTTTAGGTACATGTAACTAAAAACTAACCTCAAGAATTAGTAATGGGAAGCCCAGCAAGCAGGTCATCCGTTCATCTGTCGGTCCTCCTCCCTACTTCCGGTTCCTTGGGTTTCTGTTTGATGAGGCTGTCGGAGCCCTGAAGATGTCTTGAGGCAGGCTCATCCTCATCTCAGTAGAGCAATTCCCTCATCAGTCAGTGGTCCTCACTTTGGTGAAAGGATTCAAATAACGAAAGGAAACATTAGAATTATTGAGCTGTATTCGTGCCAGGGCTCGAAAGGGGAAAGACAACATTGAATAACCCCACAAAGCAAAGCCCTGCTACCAGAACTCGTTTGTGGACGAACATAATAACAGAGTCAGATCGCCCATTTAAATTAGTTCTGTGACTTGATTGTTCCTGTTAAGAGGAGGCCTACATGTAAACTAACCACAAGAATCAGTAATGGGAAGCCCAGCAAGCAGGTCATCCGTTCATCTGTCGGTCCTCCTCCCTACTTCCGGTTCCTCGAGTTTCTGTGTAATAAGGCTGTTGGAGCCATGACGATGTCTTGAGGCAGGCTCATCAATCCCAGTAGAGCAATTCCCTCATCAGTCAGTGGTCCTCATTTTTCTGAAAGGATTCAAATGACGAAAGAAAACATTTGATTTATTGAGCTGTAACCGTGCCGGGGCTAGAAAGGGGAAAAGACAACATTGAATAACCCCACAAAGCAAAGCCCCGCTACCAGAACTCGTTGTTAGTGGACGAACATAGAAGAGCGCCAGATGGCCCATTTTGATTATAGTTCTTGATTGTTTCTGTTTAAGCAGGCTACATGTACACAAACCTGATAGTCAGTAATGGGTAGCCCAGCAAGCAGGTCATCCGTTCATCTGTCGGTCCTCCTCCCTGCTTCCAGTTCCTCGAGTTTCTGTGTGATAAGGCTGTTGGAGCCCTGATGATGTCTTGAGGCAGGCTCATCAATCTCAGTAAAGCAATTCCCTCATCAGTCAGTGGTCCTCATTTTTCTGAAAGGATACCAGAACTCTTTGTTTGTGGAAGAACATTATAACAGAGTCAGATCGCCCATTATGATGAGTTCTGGGACTTGATTGATCCTGCGAACAGGAGGCCAACATGTAAACTAACCTCAAGAATCAGTAATAGGTAGCCCAGCAAGCAGGTCATCCGTTCATCTGTCGGTCCTCCTCCCTACTTCCAGTTCCTCGAGTTTCTGTGTGATGAGGCTGTTGGAGCCTTGGAGGGTTGATTTTTGTCCAGACAAAGCAGCCTAGCTCATCCATGCAGTCTCAACTTTTAGATCATCAGTTTCTTTGATGGAAGCTGCAACTCTTTCCTAAGTGGACAGTGGTACGAAAACACTGGGCCTAGCCCATTTGTTACTGAAGTGAAACATTCCAAAGCATTATGTCTAAGCCTACCTGTAATAAGGCCACTTGTTACCAAATAGAAACTAAACGATTCTACCCATGTTTCCACTATTTACTTTTAAAAACAGACATGATCTTTTTTGTCATAATGCACACGAACATGTGCCGACGCCGATAATAATTTGTAGGTTGCCAATAAGTTGTAGCCTTTCACAATGTACTTTTTTTGGTGGGGGGGGGGCAATTAGGTCTTTTTGAAGGCACTTCTCGACAATGCCAACAATTTTGATGTTTTTTTAAATGCCGCTGTATATAACTGAAATTCAGTCACTTTCTAGACAGATATTTTGTTCATAATGGTGTTTTTTTTCCCTCGTAATTTCGTCAATTTCATTTTCTTTTGCTGCCGTCATTTTCCCACCGTTTGCCAAAATTCGCTTTCCGACTGATGTTTTCATCGCGTTATTTTCATCATTTTCCTAGCGTGTAGGCCTACACGTAGAAAGCGGAGTGAGTTTTATTTTATTTTCGGGAAAAAAAATCGCTTACGACGGTGATTTTCGCTACAATTTATTTTGGACCGATTTGAATTTTGTTTTCAGTTTTCGTCAGACGCGTAGTCAAGTAAATATCCGGGTAGGTATTGCAGTAAAGGTAAAAAATAACACCGATTTCAGGTATTATTTATTCCAATACTGCCTAACATTTTAAAGTTGATTTCGTATTTTCGTTAATTTGAGGTTTGCCGCTTCAAAACCGTAACATTTTTTGCCCGACGTATTGCAGTTGAGAAAAAAACACACTGATTTCAAGTATTATTCCTTTCAACATTTGCTTCGATTTTACTTAACGATTTGACATTTTCGTAGTCGCAACGATTAATTTAATTTAAAAACTTGTATTTTTGTCTATTGTCAAAGACAACAGACGGATACCATTACAAAAAAATCGCACCACACAGAGAGCAATGCACACAAAGGCAAAAAATCAAACATGCAACATTTACAATGAAACAAAATACAATCTACTTTTGAGTTTTTTCCCCCAAAAGTCATTCTCTCTGTAAGCATTTTTTTTAACTCACAGATAAGTTTATCTTTAAATACTTAATAATGAACCGAGCTTAAAAGCTCTTCACAGAATAAAAATGTCTTTTATATAAAGTTATGCAAAGTATAATTAACCAAAGTTATGACTTTTGATTTTACTACGATTATTAAAATGTGGTCAACTGTCAACTGTGCCCTCACTGCTCACAGACTAGCGAAGTATAGACAATGCGGCGCTTTTACAGACGCTGTTAATCCCAGATTTTTTGACCTTTTAGTGTTACTATAAGAGCGTATTTGTCACCTTAACAGAGAGCTCATTTAGGAATTAGTGTTATTTATTAACCAACAGTTTTCTCTGTATGGCTATTTAAGTATAGTAACGTCCTTCCGTGTTTTTGTTAAATGGTTTAAGTTTTAATGTTCAAGTTCTTCTGAAGGAAGGGGCCTCTTGGAAATCGGCGCTAAAATGCACCGAAGAGGGTATCCCTTACAAGTGACACTGCACCAGGCATGGTCACTGTCAATTGCCGATGGCCTAGATTTTATGAATCTTGTTTGCTCTTTAACATTTTAGAAAATTACATTTTAAGAAATTATATCGTCGTTGGTGGACAACGCACCAGGCATTGCCACTTTCTGTAGTTGTTTTACTAACTTTGTTTAATTATTGTTTTGAGTTGGGCAAAGTACCAGCCAATGTCCGTATAGAGGGCAGCATTCCAGTTGATGATCGATAAAACATCACAAAATGACTCTCAATCAATTACAAAAGCGACTTTAAATTTGCGAGTGAAGTTTCTTAATAGCAAAAATAAAATAAAATACACCAGTACTTTCAAGTTTAGGGGGACAGTGTTATTCATTAGACAGATTTTCGTTTGCATTAAGTTAAAGGGAATGTACATCATTGGCTTTTGCTGTAATTTTCAGAAATGAACTATTTGAGGGGTTAATATAATAGATCGAATATTGTTTACACTGAAATTTTTGAAGTTTTGTGCTCGAAAAGGTTGGAAAAAACCAAGAAAAACAAAAATGTTCAAGTAGTCTGGTTCCCTGACTCCACAAAAGATAAAATGGATCAATTTATAGATGATGGAAAATTGTAAGGCAAGGGAACCAGTCTAGCTGGCCTGCACCCGTTCATGAACATGTAACCAATAGCAAACAAAATTTGGACTGAAAAAATGGTAAATTTGGAACAGTAGTTGAAAAATGGTTAGGTTTTTCCAACGCTGGTCGGCCGACCACCGTTGGAAATGTGTACAAAAATACCATTCTCTTGAAAATGACTTCACACCAGGTGCCATAATTTTACAAGATGCTTGAGACTGTCATTTACCAACATCCTAGTAAGGTATTTCGTAAAATTTTGGTAGTTTTATTTTTCGATGTTTGCAAATGTTGTATATTCCCTTTAATGTTATTTTTATACTTTTTTTTTTTTTTTTATAGAAAACTTCTAAAACTCCCCATCGCACTGCCTGCAGGCTCAATGTGCGCATGCTCGCAGCGGGCTATGCTTGCTCCCTAATTTTCGTTTGCTTCATTTTCCCTTACACTGCTTAATTTCACTTTGCTAAACAGTTCCCTAGATTTTATCACTCCGAAGTATGGTACACGAAATCGCGCGATTACGCAGGTACGCGGATATGCGGATATGCGGATACAAGGCCGGGTACGTGGGTACGAAGACCAAGAGGAGATGAACATAATTGTTCTTATTTAGGGCCTACTACTATGCATATGACAATCGCAACGTACGTACGTGATACATTTAATTTATCACATACGTACGTGATAATATAATATTACGTACTAACGCAATATTAGTACCCGATAAATAAGTACATATTACGTACGTACGTGTATTGCATATATAAGTGATAACACGTGTATCCTTAAACGAGTATACATTGTGTATACGTACTTAATAATTATCACGTGGGCCCTACGTACGTAATAATTATCACGTGGGCCCTACGTGATAATATTACCTACGTACGTGATAATATTCAAGTACGTGCGTGAGTTACGTACGTACGTACGTACGTGACAATACGTAATAGTATTATGGGAAAAAACCCAAATAACTCCCATGTCCCTTCACGGTCTTCGTACCAAACCGTCTCCGGTCTAGCCAAAAAAACACACACGAGCTTGCCGAACATTACGTATGAATATGCCTTATTGTCGAACGGAAAAGCGATAGAACGCGGTGCGGCGGTTTCTAAACGC